ATCTGTACAGTAGTTTGTTAAGCTTCAAACTAGTTAACGTCACGTAATAGTCACTATAACCAAATGATGCCCTTTATACGGTGTGTTATCTCATTGTACCTTCCAAATAAGAGGCAGTTAACTGTCCAGTCTATGGCAGTGATTGAATCAGCCCGGTCATGGTGCTCTAATTCAGAATGCCTTGGAACATTTTATGATTTACTGTACAGTTCTCCAGATCTTCCACATCAAAGCTATGAAGTTCTAAGTCACCAAAGTCTCTCGGCTCATCCATTGTAAAATACCAAACAGAAGTCTCTTTCACACTCGAGCGCTGAAGCTTCATTTGGTCCTTCACTTACTTTCAACACAAAGTTATTATTAAAGTCTTTGAAATATGAAAATGTTTAGTAACGATGTGACCTACTCTTAAATCCATTGATTCTGACATAATTATTTCGTGTAACTGTCATGAATAAAAAATATCCATGGTAATTTCAAAATGCATAAAACATAGAAAGATGATATAAATTACAAGTAACTAATAAGGAAAAAACACACATTCACTGAGACACGTGGTGGGAAAATATGAAATGTGTTTCAAAATGGGAGTATACTTGTGTCCTGGAGCCTTCCATGCATATTATATATGTGAGAAGGCAGAAGGTGGTTAGCTGGGGCCTGGTAGGTGTGCAAGCATGAGAACCTGAGTTTGGCCTCTTAGCATCCCTATAGTCTGTGGGGGAAGGTTCTGATACAGGAGGGTTCCCAGGACTTGCAGACAAGGAACTTTGCTGAAATGGTGAGCTTCAGTCTTACTGTGGAGCTGTCAAAAACCAATGTAGAAAGTAAATAAAGGAAGAGAGCCAACATAGACCTCTGGCTTGCATACACCCAGCCCTGGGAACATACACACTGTACACCATGTATACCAAATTCTAAAGGAAGTGTTTGACTGTTAGACAAAGGATTCCTATAATAATTTTGAAATAAAATAAATTGTAAGTATAGTGCTTATCTTAAGATGTCTAAGAAGAAATGGTTGGGAAATAGTATTTTTCTGAGCAATATATAAATAGTACACATAGTGATCCAGGTGAAACTTGGTACTTGTATTGTTCCCTTGGGCTCTTATGTAGAGTGTTTATAGCAAAGCACATTGGTTTTTCTACATTAATTTTTCTGTATTGTCTATCATTGGAAATTCATCATGATGTTACTTAAAGTTATGATTATGTATAATATTAACTCACAGTGTTAATGGATGGTACATAAATGTGTTACTATATCATTGGTATGTTATATAGGTAATATTCAGGTAGCTGGAGTATCCACTGGTAAATTCTCTGACCATTCATTTTGAACATTTTCTCCATTGAGGAAGTGAAAGCTACTGAGTAAATTAGAATAAAAGGAATCTTAAATAGTTCCTCTTAACATTCACATGTTGTGAACATATTAAGGACTAAGAGCAGAATTATTTATTGTTCTTCTCCTATAACATATGTTCTTTGATCTCGACTTCAGTATGTGTTGACAGGAACGTTATTTTTTAATTATTGATGCACAGTCCTGATGAGTTATATTTCTGTTCTAGACATTCTTCATCTGTATTCAGTCGACCATATGACAGAAACTAGGGCATGGTAACCAAAGTGGCATTTGGAAATTTATGGTTTTATCTCATTTGCATGTGACAGTAGTTAAAGAAAAAGAGTGATGGGTGATATACAAGAGTAAGTACTTCAGTCACTGTGAACTGTTTGCAATCAAAATGAATCGTCAATGTAGCTGTTTACATTTGACATCCATGAAATGCGCATATGTTCAGGCATAAGAAAAGGGGTATTCACTGGTAATTCTTCACTTTGTGGGTGAATTCATCCTACCAACAATAGGTCAAACTGATCAGATGATGTCTTTTGAGATAACTGCTCTCATATTTGCTAATCTTACACACATTAGTAGTTTTCATGACATTAACACTCCAGGTAGGGAGGCTAGAGCAAAAAATTAAGTCCTTGTTTAGAAGAAACCACGTCCAGTCTTCCTTTTGTGTGCTCAGGATGTTGTTGCCTATTGCCTCCTCCTCTTTCTAAAGTAAAGTCAGTCAATCTTAGGAGGAAACGAAAAGTCAAACCACCCATAGCCAGAGCTGCATGGGGATTGGCCTGGGAGTAAGAGTACAATAAGACTATTACAGCGTCCATGCACTGTACTAACGTATGATATGGCCCTGTGATTCAATTTGAATGAATTACTTTAGTTACAGCAGTTGTACTTAGATCTTTAAATGATTTGTTGCATCTAGATATCCACGCTAAGATATATGTGGATGGATTTATCTATTGTGTAGAATGGGCTTCAAAGTAATTGGCAAGTGGAAGATGTGAAGGCATGGAGGAAACAGATTAGGCAGGAATTAATTGTTGGTCAAGTTAGGCAGTGCGCACATGTATTCATTATACTGTATTTTAATTTTAATTTACTGCAATAATGTTGAAATTGTATTATAAATCAAGTGTCCACACAAGGCTCAGAATTCTCCTTTCCGTTCATTTGCCATGCATTCTTGTTACAGAGAACATGAGTTCCTTTTAGCTTACACATGAAGAGCTAGCTTTTGTAAATGACTCAATTTAATATAGGTCTATACTGAAATACCAATAGAGACACACAGTACAGATTTTAACCTTTACAGTAAGATTTCACCCGGATGATAACACGTATTGACTCTTCCCTTAACTTTAAAGGTCTTTTCATCATATCGTACTCTGGAGGTTTAGATTTCTTTAAAGTTTCTCAGTGTTAAAAATATCAAAGTAAGAAGATTACCCAAAATGAAAGAATTCAATCTTGTTTTTATCATGTGTGAAATTATGGGTCACAAAACATTTAAGTTCTGTAGCAGGAATAATAAAAACCCAGAGACAGAGAAGCAAAGCAGCCAGTCGCTAGAGTTCTCACCTCTACCAGTGCTCAGACCAAAGTGGCCATCCTTAAGCTGCTCCAACTTCACTGCTGCTCAGATTCGTTCAGACGGCTGTGTTCTCCTCAATGTGGCTAGAGACTAATTGTTCTGAGACTTTGGTGCCTGTCTTTTATATACCGCTCTTGGGCTGGTATTAAAGGTGCGCTCTAATTCTCTCTTAGACTGATTCACTTTTGCGTAGGCCAGGGTGACCTTGAACTAAGAGATATCTATCAGCCTCTGTCCCTTGAGTTCTGTAATTAAAAGGTGTATGCCACCCCCACCCAACTTCTATACCTAACTAGTGTGGCTGGCTTTGCATTCTGATCTCCAGTGGCTTTATTAGACCATAAACAATATTTCACTGCAAAGTTCATCAATTCTGAACATGGCTGGTATGTGTGTTCTCTCTCTCTGCCTCTCTCTTTCTAATACTCCTTCCATCCCTCCCTCCCTCTTCCCTCTCTCTGTCAGATGTGTTTGTATGATTTTACTAATTTACTAATATCTAATGATTTGTGATCCCAAGTTTTAAAAATTATGTAAAAAACATATAAATAAGGGGACATTACAGTTTATTTTCATTAAGCCATGCAATAACATTTAGCTTGTTACTCTAAGAGAGGTTAAGAGAAACTGTAGGCTAATGGTATCTGCTTCAAAGTAAACTTCTGTTGTCTGTCTAGTAAAGGAGAGGAAGAGAATTTTTTCTTTGCAAAATTTCTGAATCGGCATCGTTGAAGGTATGTGGTTCAACCTCCCATAGGCCAAGCAGATATAGTACTATAGGCCTGAGTTAAGCACAGGATGGCTTCTGTATGTTTGTCCCTTATTTTTTTTTTCTTTTTGAAATTTTAAAATGTAATACTAAATTAAGTGTGTAATAATATAATACAAAAATGCTGGGGTAATGAATGTCTTTTAACTCCTATTTCTAGAAGGCATCGTGAAAGAGCATCTCATTCATTTTGTCTGTTCCCAACTGTGAATATTTTATACTATTAGAGCTTAGTTAGTGACATGAATGTGGCAGGCTGTACTAAACCTGCACTGATCACCAGTAAATACATTTCTAGCCTAAAAGAACTTGAACAAATCTTTTATAGCCTCTGATTTGAAAGCTGGATTGGGAGGTACGTCATAGTTTGCAGTGATGTATTCCATATGACCAGATTAAGACAGAAGGCTCTGTGATATTCAGCTTCCCACTGTTGAATCAAAACTCTGAGATAAATCAGCTTAAGGAATGAAGATTTCCTTTGGCTCATGGCTTCCAAGCTTTCAGGCCATGTGTGGTTGGCTTTGTTGCTTTGGACTGATGATAAAGGGTGTGATGCAGCAAAGCCAGTTACCTCATTGAATCCAGAAAGCAGAGGGAAAGATTGGAAGTGTACAGAGTCCTAATGGCCCGGGCACACCTGAGTATGCCTTATCCCCCTTTAGTAGGCCTCACTCACATCACAAAGGTGATAGCATAGACTAGCAACTGAGCCTCCATGCAGAAGCCTTTTAGGGGACGTGTAAAACAGAGACCATAGTGCTTTTAGCATAGATGGTTACTTCACAGTGATATTTTATTTTCCCTACTCATTCCTTATTAATCAAGATTTAACAAATCCTAGCCAATTTAAGAATAATACCCACAGATAATATGCACAAGAACTTTTTCAAAATAGACTTCAAAATAGACTATTTATTATTTTTTAATCATTTTTAATTTTACCAAGATGTTATTTTTATAAAATATTTAATTAGCATTTTTGTTTTGAAGAGGGATATAATTCATTTTTCAGTATCTGAGGACTGTAAAGCTTTGTACATTAGAATTACAAATGCATACTTGTGAAAATTAAGTTAAGCTCCTTGGGAAGTAATTTGGCTCTTTGGTAAATTTAATGCTGACTCTCATCATATATCTTGTTGTCTTAGAACCTGTTTTACTCAGCTGCTTCTTCAAGATGTCTTGACCCCTCCCATGACCCACAAACTTGTGAAACATTTCTTGAGACTTCCCTAGATAGTTTTGAACCCATTTGTTTCCTTTGTTTAGGAGTCTGATGGCCAAGGCTGCCCCTTCTGTCGCTGTGAGATAAAAGGAACTGAGCCCATCATCGTGGATCCCTTTGATCCCAGAGACGAAGGCTCCAGGTGTTGCAGCATCATCGACCCTTTCAGTATCCCCATGCTTGACTTGGATGATGATGACGATCGAGAGGAGTCCTTGATGATGAACAGGCTGGCAAGTGTTCGAAAGGTAAACCAGAATACACGAATGTAGCTTGTGTGCTGTGAGACAACTAACAAATTAGTCTCAGGTGGTCTGTGTATGTTTGTGTGTTTGGCTAAGAAAGCATTCTTGATTCAGAACTAAGAATAAATTGCAAGCGGTATTCCCATTTGGGAAAAAAAAAAAAAAAAAAGTGTAGTAGTCCTCATTCCTCATCAAGGAAATTTCTCTTTGCAACAGATAAAGACCACTATAGAAAACCACAACCAAGCAAAATGCAAAGTTGTGCAGCCCAGCCTCAGTAGTTGCAACCACAAAACACTCTTGTATCTAAGGCTTAGGGAACAGTGTGGAAAGTGTGGGGGGAAGAAAGATTGTAACACCCTGAGGACTGTGAGTTTTCTGTGTCTCTTAGTAATCTCAGAAGCGACATCAATAAATCTCACCAACATGGCTCCCTAAATATAAGCTGAGTAAGGAAAACAATAAACATTGCCCAAAGTGGGGAAAGACTATGAGGACTCAACCCTACACAAAGAATTACAGGCAATTAAGGAATGCCGAGAGTGGGAGAAATAGTCTTCTCCAGGGAAGAGCACACCAATTGGTTATCTGATACCAAGTGGTCAGCCAGCCCTGAAAGCATGCATACAAGTAACATTATGGAAACTGAGTGTGGTATAGTTAGAAATATACATATGTACATCTAACAACAGTTAGTGAGAAAAGAGGCCATAATTTTGAAAGACAGAGGGAAGGGGTATTATGGGAAGGTTTGGAAAGAGGAAAGGTGTGTGTGTGGGGGCGTGCGTGCGTGCATGTGTGATTATATTATCCCAAAAATAAAAGAAATAATTTTAAAAACTACAAGCAATCTTATCCAACTCATAAGACAATAGGTCAAGTAGAATCATCTGCTAAGGTAGCCATCTGCTTTCAAAACTCATGAGAGGCAGATGGGGACATTTATATAGAATTAAGCATCCAAGAATGAGATTGACAAATGTGAAGAAAAATTGAAGAGTGGAAGTTATGTTATTTGGAAATGGTAAGATGCACTTGATTAACATGTTTGTTGAGTCTAGTAGTGTTCAGTGATTTTATTTTCTTAACTGAAATGACATCCTGGTGTTCAGTTTATAAGAAGTCACACAAAATTCATCTCTGAATGGACTGTAACTTGAGATTTGCTTGTTAATTTAGAAAACTGACCTTAGGAACTGAGAGTGAGTGTTGCTGCCCATTGCTGTTTACTTTACAAAAGAAAAGAATGCTGGTGGGATAATTTAGAAATCAGAAATGGTTGATAAATTCCTAGATATCAGAGTGCTCTGTGCAAAGAAATGCACATGGAATTCACATTGCATTGAGAAGTTCTATGCTGGGGAAGTAAGTCACAAGTGGGATTCATTGCTGTGGGAGCATCTGGAGTTGAGGGAACTGTCTGCCTCCTGGATCATGCAGCATGACTAATCAACCATAGCACTAATCCCTTTGGAGTCCAGCCCTAAGGAGAAGCATTTCTCCTTAGGTGAGATGGAGTGGCAATCCTGATAGCCACTTCACATTGTTTACACTGTGTACCCATTGCTACAGTGGGAAAATAATTGGTACAGAGAAGAGACCAGAGGAGGCCATTTTGATGGCTACCTCAAGGCTGCATCAAATTTTGCTGAAAGAAAACTGCATTTTCTCTGTCCCAGAGTCCCATGCTGACTTCAGACATTCCACTCTCACTTTTACATGAAAGATTTTGCATGTGAAGGAATGTTAGTATGACCAGCTTTACTACTCTCAGATTCTGCTTTGGGCTAGAATGATAATGTTGGCTCTTCACACTATTAGATTTATATAAGTTTCATAAGCTAACTCAGGGATAACAACGGTTGAGAATTTTTTAAATTACATGTCTTTGACCCAAGAGAAAGTCATTATTCCTTAGTAACTGTAAATGATGACTACAGAAGCAAGAAGTCTTAAAGCCAATTGGGACTTGAGTCCCCTGCCAACTAAAATTCTTCCTGCAAGAAGAAGCTCTGTTATGGGCTAGCACTGCAACTGCCTTAAGAAAATTACTTTCATTCCTCCTGATGTTGGCTTCCTCTTGTAAAGCAGAACAGCAATAGCAGGTCTTCTATTACCTATTGAAATTGTTGAATGGGATCTTGGATTTCAGACAGTAACACAGGGTCAGGTCCCAGAACCCACAAATGCTTGCTATTTTAGTGCCTGTGTCCATTGTAATTAATAATGCTGTGTGCTGAATGCCCCGTGACACACTTCACACTTTGCATTAGTGCAAATCACTGCATCTTGTGCATGTACAAGGAGCCACACTGGCACACCAGAGATGATGCTCGCCCTCATCCAGAAGACAGCTGAGTCGCAGCTCATTGTTCTGCCAGTCTGGCCATGTCTCAGTCCTCTGTGAGACTCACTCAAAACAAGAAGAAAGATGCAAAGTGAGAATAAGGTAGTTATTATATGCTTGTAACATTGTCTTCATTGATTGGTGGCACTTTGCCCCTTGAAGTAACAATGTTGAATATCAAGTGAAATATATTGACTTAGGTTGATTTTTCTCTTGATCTACAAGACCTAAAATGTTTCTTACCTGGACCTTTAAGAAAGCAAGTTGCCCCAGCTGTAGGATGCAGGGTACATTACATTTAAAGAATGTTTATTGAATGCCTGGGGAACCTGGAATGGCGGGCAAGTATTTGAGAAACATGCAACAGCTGGAGAAGTTCAGATGACCTCTGTGGTAAGGCTTTCTAGCTTGAAAAAAAAAAAAAATGGCTTTTCAGTTTTCCTGCTTTCCTGAGCTTGGGGCTGTGAACTTCTAGAATAATTCTCTTGTGAACGTTATGTACATTGCCATTTAGAGAAGGAAAAAACATTTTCCCTATATTGGTTTGCAAATAGCTGCAGTCCTCGCCAGCTTCACATGAGTTAAAGTACAGCCTGGGCCTCTTCTCACAGTGACTCTGGTAACACAAAGTGAGAAACAGGAGTGTTACAAGCTGAGGAACAGGCCTGCTTTCCATCCTCTCTGCCTTTCCTGATTTGTTTCCTCTGCCACCTTGGGAGGGAGGTGTCTGTCAGGAAAATGAGAGATTTTTTTTAGAGAAATTCTCTCTATTGTTAACCCCATCAAGAGAAGGATGTTCTCAGGCCTTCTTGGTTTTGTTTCTTACGGTAAGTCTCTGTGGCCTACAGTGTTCCATTTCCCTGTGGCAGTCAGATATTTTAGAAATGCAATTAAGTAACAGTTATTTGGTTTTTTGATGTTATAATTTAATTAAATGTCTCTTATGCCTACTGATCTGCCTTTAGCAAGTTAAGCAGATCATGCCTTTTGTATTATTTCACCAATTTGTGCCACAGCACTTCAACGCATCCTAAATTTTTGTATGGAGACAAGCACAACTTCTTTATGAGTAATTGGGAAATATTTCTTTAAAATCGTGTTCTTATTGCTGTGTTTATGTGTTTTGATACAAGCATTGTGCTTGTGTCCAGCACTGTTCCTGTCACCCAGACATACTCAGTAGCTATTTAAAATACACCAGTAATTCTTTCGCACATGCTCTCTGAGGGCAAATACCTGATCAAATGTGTCTCTTTTAGCTCCATTTTAATTTAAAGAATAAATATATCACACGAAAGGCCAAACTTTAATAAGCTTTGATGCCGCGATGAGTTGGAGAGCAGGTTATAAACAAAGACTGATAACTTTGACACAAAGCCATTCTTCGTTCATGATCTTCCCCTGTTTTATAATCATCATTATTTCATTCTCTGTTCATTTATTTTTAAAGTGTCTCATTTTCACAACTCAAGACTGTCAATCATTGCCCAGTAGAATGACTAATTTTTTATCTTTCATTTCAGTTGCTTATCTTTTTCTCCTTTCATGAACTGGTTGATGACCATATTGTGCAATTGTTCTTGTCAGTCTTAAGCTTGCTACCTTCATTGAATTAATAATCCTTCCATCATTGTATAGAGAAGTGAGCTGCATTTTATAGTTACCACAGAGATTTTTAACAGCTGACATATTTATAAGTCATAACATGTTGCACATACAGGTTGCTTCTTTAGAATATTTAGAAATGATGTTTCTAATAAACAGAGAACCCACAATTCTATAAAACGGTGATTTATTTCCCTTATTGGATGGAAGGTTGATGGGAGATGTCATTCTGTAAATATGGCTCATATCTTCTAGTGTTGTGCCTAGTGTGTATGAGCCTTACATTTTCCAATTCTCTCTGTGTTACATTTTCCTGTTAAGGATAAAGCTCAATGGCTTAAATCCAGAAACACTAGGAGAACGGTGCCAGTGCATGGAAAATGCTGCTAAGCATAAGTTGCTATATTATTTTAATATAGTATAAGTTAAAACTCCCTAGAAAATTGCTGTCCTTCCAAGAACTAAATATCAATATCTTGAGATTTCCACATGAGTTTTATTAAATATTACTATTCATGTATCATATTATTTAAGATGGATCTATATTGATTAGCAAGAAAGTTGTACTCAATAGCTTATTACCTACACGATAATACTACTGTATTTCTTCCATACATGATGATATTAAAATAATTTCCTACTAAAACATGTTTCATGTTTAAAACTCAGAGAAAAGGCAAAGCTGCCAAGATGTCAGCCTTAATACTATTTTAAGGATTTAGTAATTTCGGTAACCATATGGTGTACTTACTTTCTGGACTGGTTGTGAATTAAAAAGATTAAGAATTTAAGAATTCTTTCAATTGGGAGAACAATAGCCATCAAATATTGTTTGTTCTTTATAATGCTCTACCTGGTACTAGGAGAATTAAGAGTGTCATGTGAAAGCATTTACCCACTGACTGAAATTCATTCCTTTAATTCCCAGAGTGTTCTTGCTTCTCAGCCATTTCTCCGGAACTATTTCTGAATTATAGGTCACCCTTCCCTGCCTTCTCAAAATTGCTTATGCAGCTGAGTGAACCAAAGGGCATACAAAGCCACTACACTCAATGCAACTTATTTCTAGATACTTATATTTTGCCACAAGATTTAAGGCTGCATTGCTGGAAGAGATAAGAACCACAAATTTAAATTAAAATCACACATATACTTGCATCAGGTTGTGAAATTCACAGAGATGACTAAGGTAAAATGTAAAGCTTCAAAGAAATTTATAGATTATAGTGGCTAATCACAAGCCAGGGGTTCATGACTCTCCCACCAGAGGTACCACAAGGAGAAACAGTGTCACACTGCATGCTTAGCAGAGTTTATTACTTTAATAGAGATGTGCCCTTGGGGTTAGAGCCATATATGACAGTATGTATTGCTGTAAAGTAGACCATGCTGGCAATTGTGTTGTCTACTTCCCTTCCAGACTGTAAAGTCACCCATCCTTAGAACTGTTTCTCCATTTGTAGGTTTGTAACCTGTTTCCTCACCTGTATTACTTTTAATTTGTGATATCTGAGTATTTCCAGAAGTGTTTTGAATAAAACCAGTAGTGGTTTGAATAAAAATGGTCCCCATAGGCTCATATGTTTATATGTTTGGTCTTCTGTTGGTGATACTGTTTGGGAAAGGATTGGAGGTGTGGCCTTATTAGAGAATGTGTGTTACTGGGTGTAGGATTGGAGGCTTCAAAGGCCTATATCATCCTTCTCTCTGTGTCTCTGTCTCTCTCTGTCTCTCTCTCTCCCTCTCCCCTCACCCCCGTGCCTCTTACTTGCTTGCTCTCAACCTCTTGCTTTCCCTCAGCTTCTGATCCAGTGCTTCCCCTGCCTAATTGCTGCCAAGCTCCAGGCCATGATGGCCATGGACTCTACCTCTGAAACCATGATGGCCATGGACTCTACCTCTGAAACCATGAGTCCTGAATTAAATACCTTCTTTTTGTAAGCTCATGGAGTTTCAGCATAGCAGAAGGAAAGTGACTAAGACACCAATCACCTTTACTCCACAGTAGATTAACTATCCACATCTTAGTGAGGCTGCACTTCTCCCTGGGAAGAAGTCCAAGAAACGTTTGCCTTGCCAGACTTGTCTTTCTCATTTTGAGTTCCTTCCAAATTCTTGCCAGTTGGAACTTCCGGGAGTTGGTTTTATACCAGTTCTTCATATAACCTTTTGCTTCTTATTAATTTAAAGAGGCCAGTGCTACAGACAGTCCTAAATAGAGAACATTAGCTATCTGTGCTCAAACTATAAGCCACATGAGAACGTTGGAGTGTGAATGGAAACATTGCTGTTGTGTATGACTTAAGAAAATATTCCACAGACTATTTTAAATATTTTAATTTCATTATGCCTACAAGTTAATACAATAGATAAAGACCAAGATAATAATTGCAAGCAACGAAAATGTACTTAGAATATGTTATTCTATGTTGTAAAAAAAAAATGCCACTGCTAATTAATGCTCATGCATTTAGAGAAAAGTATTGACTCTTGGGTCCTGCTCATCACTGATATTATAATACAAATATCACCCTTGTTAAATCCGAAATTCATTAAGTAAAGATCCTGCTAGAAGTTTAGTAAGATGACTTTGATTATTTATGTATTTTTAGAACTCTCATTAGTTATTGGAAGTCTTTCTCCTGCCCCATTTTTATAGTAACCTTCTTGGACTTGAAGTTCCTTACCAAATGTTTACCATTTCCATAATAATAGACCTTATTAAAGGTTCTTCTAAAATCATTCTTTATAGATGTGGATAAAATGAAAAGTGACTTCAATAGGATGGGGCCCTTGTGATAATCAGCAATTGCTGAGCAAGAGGCAGTGGATTTTGAATGCTTTGCTCTATGGTGACTTTCTGTGGCAGTCACAAATGTGGATCCTACAGTTTGTATGAGGGCCACTAGCATTGTCTCTTAAATTATAAAAATACATTGTGAATTTTGTCAGAGAAATTAAGAGTAGCTGAAGCAAATGACTAGGGAAAAACTGTAGGTATTTACATATGATCCAGCATGGTTCTGACATTTCTAGCATCCCTAAGTCCCTGTCTGTAGATGTGCTCATCAATTGCCTGTCTTACTGAATTTAGGAGAAACTGTTAGACTCATGCTGATGAGGTAATCCTGAAAACAGAAATCAAGGCCCATGGATTCTGGAAGGAGCTGAAATAAAAAGGCTGAATTACCCCACAGTTCTGAGGGCTAGGGTAATACTAAATGTGACACAGACCTGAAGTGTAGACAAACAAATGATATGCAACTCAGTTCCCTGAACTTGAAAGAACAGTCCATTCTCCCTAGTGCAGGTGGTTTTGAATATTACATGATGTACTCTGTATATTAGTGCCACTAATACTAGTATATTAGTGAATTTCTCAATAAGCTCTGTTACTCTTCCTGTGAAGAAAAGCCAGATGAGTTCAGTACAAGTCTTCATGGCAGGGAAATGATTAGCAAATGCCAGTACACTTGTCAACTTGTGCTGGGAGGTCATTCGTACAGTGACTAAATAATCCTGGTATAGAATGGGTTCAAAACTGAACCCATTCTATACCAGCCATTTGTAGGTATAAAGTCAAAGCTTATACAGTGAAAGTCTATTATTTACATTGGAGTATTAATACATGAAATAAATAGAAAATTTGAAAAGTCATGTGGAGATTGGCACCACAACCAGTAAAACATTACTAATTACAAAAAGCTTGTCAGTGTACATCCTGTAACCATTAGCTTCTAGGCTACTTTGTGTATTATAGTTAGGGATTTCTGCCTTTTAGAATATGCCTTAGAAACAAAATAACCATCAAAAAATCAGTTCCAAATGTGTCTGTGGATTGATCAATGTTAGTAAAAGCAATAGTCCACCGAGTGTTTCTGTTTGACATTTACATGTAATATTAGACTCTTAATCTCATTATTTTTAATATTTAAAGCAATTTGAACACTTAATTAAGCTATATGGAGTGTTTAGTTGGTTTTATCAGGGTTGTAGCTTTGTGGCTAAGCAATAGGAGGAAGATACTTAGGCTTTTCTGATTGTCCCTTCTGATTTCCTTTCTTTCCTATTTATTTTTAATTAACACACTATTTTTTATACAGTCCTAAGTATTTCAGCTTTGGTATGCACATGAATTTCTAACCGTCTAGCCCAAGTGTGTCACCAGTTTCCGATATCTCCTTGGCTGGCAGCTTGTAGCTCTGTGCTTCATTAAGTCATTGTGAGACCACTTCAGACAGTAGCTACCCTATGTCCTGTCCTATACGATATTTGTACCATTTGAAGCATTTGCATACCCATTACCAAACAGTCATCTGCCTCCTTCCTACCCTCTAATACCCACTCTTCTACTCTCCTGTGAGGGAGCTTTTATCCCTTTCATATAGAGAATGCACAACATCTATCTTTTACTGCCTGCCTTAGCTTGTAGGTCAGTCCAAGCATTTCATCACAGATTACAATGAAACATTCCTTACCCTTGAATAATGTTACACATATTTATTCCATATCTTGGCTGCTGTGAATAGCACTATTATACATAAAGGAGTACAGTTGACACTTACATCTAATATCTTTGGTTGCTTACCTAGTAGCTTCTCAATTGATTTCTTTTTTAAGGGCTTTGCAAATGGTGAATGTACTTCCATGGTTCCTAAGTGTAGCCTGTTCAGTGACTCCCAGAGACAAAGATCTTGAGGCAGCATAAAATCTTACTTATTGTGGCTCAAGTATGACCTTCTGAGGTTTGCTTAAATGCTGTTAAAGGAAAGCACTTAGCTTAAGGATTTCTTTTCCATATGGAACATAAGAAAAACAACAACAGTAATACTTGGCTTAAATGGGTGTGTTTTAAATGCCTAATGTCTAGTTAATTTAAGGCTGACCTGATTTCATTGGAGGAGATTTCATAGGAGTTTCATTTGGTAGTGAGAGCATAGTGTGTAGAATAAAGAACTTCTGTTTGCAAATAGGTGTTAACGTTTATAATCTAGGTAGTCTAAGGGATATGTTCCTGTGCATTGTGTTTCTGATCTCACAGGATTAAGAGCCATTCAGGGAAGAAGGCTGTGCACTGCATTCTAATGTGCTTTTGTCTGAGGCTCTTCCTACAAGGTGTGAGGACAAATGTTCAGGACACATTGGGATCGAAGATCTATTATTCACCTTTCCTTGGGCAAGTGTGCAGTCTTGCCCCCCTTCTCTCTGCACATTAGCAAGGACAGAACATTGTACTCTTCATCCATCAGTGCACAGCAGTTACCCAGCAGCCTCTCTGCTTTCCTCCTAGTGCACTGACAGGCAGAACTCACCAGTCACATCGCCAGGATCCTCACCCCTTGCCCAGAGAAGAAAGCCTCAGCCAGACCCTCTGCAGATCCCCCACCTCAGCCTGCCACCAGTGCCTCCTCGCCTGGATCTCATCCAGAAAGGCATCGTCCGCTCTCCCTGTGGCAGCCCCACGGGGTCCCCAAAGGTGAGCCAGCTCCATCAGAAACACAGAGGGCAGCCCTTGCATGCTTGTGTGCATCATCTCCCTGTGTCTTAGGGTCTAATTGTTTACAAATAACTGTGTAAGTTTCTCATGTTCTTAATATCGAATCTGCTGTCATTACATAATTGCTCAAGCATGTGTTAGACCCCTGATTTGCTAAAATAGTAGTGTAAGTATAGTATTCTATAAAGTGGATTTAAAAGGTCATCATATACATTGCAATAATTTGCATGCTGTTATCAAATGGTATTTTACACTTATTTTTATAATGCCATGACAAGAAAAATGTGAGGGGCGTGTATTTGCATAAGGGCTGGAGGTATGAATCATTATCACCCATACTTCAGGTGACTTAGAAGACAGAATCATATGTACTTCCTTTAAAGTCAGGAATTAATTACAATAAATTACAATATTTGCAAAGTAATTATATTACTTTTTAATATTAAAGGTGTAGTTTTAACTTAGGCCTACAGTCCTTTTTAGTTATATGAGGATTCTTTTAAAGTTTAATATTAAGAGCATATTTGGCTTTATTAAATGTAAATTTATAAAAACTTAAATACCATTTGCTAATATGCTTACAGTCTACAATTGCTAAGAAGTATAACACATTTAGTGCTGTTTCCTTCTTTAATTCCATGTGACTCAGTACAGGATAGAACTTTGAATTGTGTAGACAACAACAAATTTGTTTTCCTTGACTAAATAACTAAATAAACACTAAAAGCCCTAAGAGGCATGCAGATTCCCCTTGGAAGTCCATACTCTCATATTGTCCTCTAGCAGTTACACTGACAAATAATTTAAGTTTTTTTATTTAAATTAGAAGCAATCTTATTTTACATATCAATCCCAGTTCCCTCTCCTCCCACCCTCCTTGCCCCCAAGGACATCCCCCATCCTATCCCCTTTCTGTTCCCTAGGGAGTTTGAGGCCTTCCATGGAGGATCATGGAAGTTTTTCACATCGTTTGGGACAGAGCCCAAGCTCTACCCATGTGTCTAGGCTGAGGGAGTATCCCTCTATGTGGAAATGACTCCCAATGTCCATTTATACACTAGGGATAAATACTGATCCACTACCAGAGGCCCCATAGGTTGCCCAGTCCTCCCAACTAATACCACATTCAGGGGGTCTGGGTTGGTCCTATGCTGGTTTCCCAGCTATCAGTCTGGGATCCATGAGGTCCCCCTTGTTCAGGTCAGCAGTTTCTGTGGTTTTCTTCAGCCTGGTCTTGACCCCTTTGCTCATTACTCCTCCCTCTCTGCAACTGGATTCCAGGTGTTCATCTCAGTGTTTAGCTGTGGGTGTCTGCTTCTGCTTCCATCAGCTACTGAATGAAGCTTTCATTGAACTGCAAGGAGGAAAACAAAAATCAATTTTAAAACATTATTAAATACTTTGAATCATTTCCCTGATACTATCAGGGTAGCCAAAGTATATAATTTTAATCTTCTGCTTCTTTCTGTATGATTTCTAGAAATTTTGCATGTATATTAGTCATTTATACAAAATTCTTAATGTGGTAATTTAATGTAAGTTTTTCCTTAATTTTTTAATTGTTCATTATTAATAAAAGAAATTTATGAAAAGTCACTTGAAAGCTTATTAGAAATCTAATAATACCACATTATGACTAAAATGCAAATTCAATGATAGGAGCCTGAAAGTCTTTTCAGTACATGGTACATTATATTTTTTGGTTTTGTGTTTTGTCTCTTGTGCATCTCTTTAGTCTTCTCCATGCATGGTGAGAAAACAAGACAAGCCACTCCCAGCACCACCTCCTCCTTTAAGAGACCCTCCCCCTCCACCAGAGAGGCCTCCCCCAATCCCACCTGACAACAGACTGAGCAGACACTTCCACCATGGGGAAAGTGTGCCTTCCAGGGACCAGCCAATGCCTCTTGAAGCCTGGTGCCCTCGGGACACCTTTGGGACTAATCAGGTGATGGGATGTCGCATCCTAGGGGATGGCTCTCCAAAGCCTGGAGTCACAGCAAACTCCAACTTAAATGGAAGACACAGTAGAATGGGCTCCGACCAGGTCCTTATGCGGAAACACAGACGCCATGATTTGCCTTCAGAAGGAGCTAAGGTAAGGCATTGTACAGTGCACAAGTCAGGAAGCAGCTTACTGAGTGTGCCCATGGGGTGAGGGGGGAAATGTGGGGGTTGGTATCCAGTGTGAAGCAAGGGCAGTGATTTAGTTTGGTTGTTTTTACCTGCCTACCACAGCACTTCCTGGATGCTCTTTAATTACCTACAGGCTCTGAACAGTGAAAAGATCATTTAAAGTTGAACTTGAAAGAAGGGAACTTAAGATGCAGATGAGAAGCAGCTGAACAGAGATTGGTCCCCCTCCCCAATGTCCTGCAGAGAGCTTCTCCCACCACTATCTCGGTGTTGTTAAAATCACACTGTTTAGTGCTAGGTCTCCTTGTTGTATCCAAATTGGAAATGTTGTGTAATTGTACATGCCATAAATCAGTCTTCAACAAGGTGTTCTTTAGGACACTATACTTGAACCAGCCCAGATAACTGAACCTTTTTCCCTACTTAAAAAAAAAAGGCCACTTCACTGTAGCTCACCAAGCAAACCTTATACAGCTTGAAGAGATTCCCGCACTTCTCTAAATGCTCATGTAAACACTAACCCTCTGTCACCTGCGTGAAGGAAAGAACCTAAGTGTGCAGTCCTCTAAAGGAGTGGCAGCAGCAGCCATTGACCCTAGCAGACTGGGAGGTGTCCCGGGAGTCCCTCTGGAAATCATCCCTGATGCTTTATTCCATGGTGATTTTAGCTGTGAGATCAGATCTGAGTTCTCTCAGGTCCTGAAAAGGACCTTGCTGCTTTAGCTCATAATATTCAGTTGACCCCAGCTTAATGTTGTTTTTTATGGGAGTATAATCTATTCCTTCACAACTGTGGATTGAATCTAATGTGTTCATCCGACATTCAGGAAACAGGGAGACAACATACTGACATGTACTCATAATCACAGCATTAGAATGGGAAGTTTAAGGTCATCTTCAGTTTCATAGGGAACTCAAGGCCAGCAGGGCTACATGAGACCAGTCTCACAGGGAAAGAAAGGAAAGAAGAAACTAAGCAGTGGCATGTACTCAGTTCCCTGTAAGTGTGTGTGTGTGTGTGTGTGTGTGTGTGTGTGTGTGTGCGCGCGTGTGCACATATGTGTGTGCAAGCATAGCGATGTTGGGAACTTGGTGTAGTGGCATCATTAATGCAGTGATGCATCAGGAATATTCGAGTGGGAAGAGACGGCTCTCAGGTACAGCATATTAGAGACAGGAGGATCTGTTAGGATGTTACACATCTTGTTTGACAGTACCCTGCCTAGCACTGTTCTCAGCTCCTGTAATTAGGAAGATTCCTAAAGATTCCTTCAAGATTAATTAATTATAGTGTAAGTGTAACGAGAAAGCACATAGGAAATACAGGTGGATAATGTCTTCTAGCAGTTGAGAGCTTGTCCTCAAAGGACATTTCTACAGCCTTGAGTGCTGTCTGGAGAGAATTTCTGGGATTGGGTTTTGTTTCATTTATGCATAATCACACTTGTCGTGAAAAGAGCCTTGGAACAAACTCGCAAATGAACAGACTGTTTATCCTCAGGTGTAGCATGAATTCTAATTGGTCTTAATAATAAAAACCAGGAGGCAGATATTGGGGGCGGGGGTCATGCTGAAAGATCAGAGAAGCAAAGCAGCTCTTACCTCTGTCTCAGACCAACTGGGCAATCCTTTCTCCACAAATCCTCAGATTTCATCTCTCTCTCTCTTGTTTCTTCCAGCCTTAAATTCCCTTCTCTGCCCAGCCGTATCCCTCCTGTCTCCACCTCCCTAGTGCTGGGATTAAAGTCTTGTGATCCCAAGTGCTGGAATCACCTTTGTGTGTACTCTGTTTCGCTTTTAGACTGAATAAATTTTGTGTGGCTCAGGGTAGCCTTGAACTAACACAGATCTGTCTGCCTCTGTCTCCCAAGTGCTCAGATTAAAGGTCTGTACCACCCTGCCTGGGCTAACTATGCACTCTGATCTTCAAGCAAGCTTTATTTGTTAAATCATAAACAAAAATATCACCACACTCAGGGGTAGGTCACAAGCTAATTTTTGAATGACTTCAGAAATAGTATAGTAACCATCAGTGCCAATTCTTTGAAGATCCCTTGTTTTAGGATTCTTTCTGAATTGTTTTATAGTAAGTCAGTCTAAATACAAAACTGGCCTTCTATTCCGTGGCTGTTAATTTTTTAAGATATTTATAGTTTAAAAACGGGGTGATTATTTCTTCTAAGTGTGGGATTATGTAGTGAAATTAACACTAGGTCTGAAATATTCATAGAGAGTACACTTCTGGTTAGTTACTACAGAAGTCTCTTCTCCTTGAAACCTAGATTTTCATGCTGTCTCTAACTTCTTAGAGAGTTCCTGAGCTTGCATGTTCATGGTCTCTCCCCAGCCTCCCCCTCCTCCTCCCAGTTATCACTTGAACAAATACTTTTAGCTTGAAATAAAACAATAATAGTTTCTCCTAATTTTTTATTTTTGTCTCTTCTTCGAATCCCTCTGATAAGAAGGAAGAAAAGATTTTTTTTTAAGGGCTAAACTGTTTATTAGCAATTCTATGCTTTTGTCCTTAAAGATTATTTTATGTTGAACCACCTCTTTGCAATAAATATTCTAAAATATGATACAAACTTGAAGTTGTTACTTTGGACCATGAGCACTGTACCCATCTGTTGCCATTGGTTCCATTGATTGACTGAGAACCCAGCTGGTTCTTGGTGATAAACACTGTTTTTAACTTGCCATGTGCCTTGCGATGATTTTGTTCTACAGATGACTGTATGTATACTAATCTTTCAAAGATATCACTAGATAAGGGTGGCATATGATCTTCTTGTGACTGTAGCTCTTGCACTTTGAGTGAGGAAACACATGCTCATACATATGACCCTAAACTTATATGTAAGCTCTAAGAGTTGGCTTTCAAAAGGAAAGCCTTGGTGTGCACAGGCTTCATTGGCAGTTTGATACTGAAGAACATGTGAGAGGCTCCTCTTTAGACGGTAGAGCAGTATATGAATAAGATAGGGAATACATTTGTATTTGTAGTTTGATAAGAATTGGCGCACACACGAGGTGCACATAGTGTACTTTCAGGCAAGCACCTATGCCTATCAAATAAAAGCAAGCAAATGCTTTTTTTTTTTTTTAAGAAAAATCCTTTCCTTCATTGCCCAAAATTTTTTATAAAATATGTTTTGTGCATTTCAAGGATCTCGTGTTTAGATGAATGATCTTAGACAATATATGAGTCACAGGAAAATATTTCAAACATATAAGTTAATTTAGATGATGCCTAGAGGCACCCAAAAAACTAAACCTAAGATAGCCTGGTTTACAGTAAATTACCCAGCCCAGATAGGTTGACTTCCACAAGTCTGAGCCTTCAGTAATGTGCTTATGCCATCGTCCTCCCTCTGCTCTGTAGGTAATTGGATGTCCACGACACTGGAGATGCAGTGTTGTGAGTGAAGTACAGTCTAAATGCAGGACATACAGGCCTGGAATGAACTTAGTCAGAAAGGTGCATGAGAATACCCAAGAGATACTTACTTTCCTGAGAAAGAAAATGAAATCCTGAAAGGGAAGGCAGAAAAGGAATCAGGTTTCCTGGAAAATGACCCTGACTGGAGGGTGACAGGAATGACAGAGGCGGTAGCCATTTTATCCCCTGTAGGAATAACAGAGGAATACCGTGGGTGTAGGAAATATGGACAGTGATATGAAGGCGATTTTGAATAGAGCGTAGTGTGTGTAAAGAGTAGAGACGTGTGCAGCAAAACTGGGTAATGCAGGTTGAAACCAGTTTCGTTATGAAGGTTCTTCAGTGATGCAGTCTGTCTAAACACTCTACACAGCCTGTCCACCAATCACAAGCAGACCCTCCAGATTTCTAAGGAACACGTGCTGCTTATTTTCAGCTAGCCGCTCATGGTGTATGGTACTCCCTCAGGTAGTGGCCTTCAGTTTCCAGTCTGATGAAATGGGTAAGGCTGAACATGGAATTCAGAGTTCAATGTTAGGTTTCATCCTCAAACCAGTATCATTAGGAACAATCACATGAGGTTCACAGAAATGAGAACCAGCACATGTAAGCACTTGGCCATTTGCATGCTTGCATAATTTCAGTATCCTAATTAGGAAGAGCTATCAAAAATCCCATGTCCAGTATTAAACATATACTTAAGTCTCAGAACATAGTTTAGAACCAATTACAGAAAGATCAGCTTCTAAGTAAATGGTGTGTGTATTTGCTAAGAGTATTTCAGTAAAAGATGTTTCTTCTACCAATAGCAAAGAAATTTCCCCGGTCAATGCCTCCACCAATGTGGTCACCTGCCCTGTTGTCACTCAACATTCATGGAAGCCCTATTGCACATTAAGTATGTAAAGGAAATTATTATAAAATGAGGGAGAAATCAAAGACCGCATTCTGAAACAAACCGGCACAATGTGGCATTCATTCTCCACAGAATGTAACTACATTGCAGATACCAAATAAATTGTTCATGAAGGACTCTAATATTTCAGAAACAGGAGAAATCTTCAAGCTACTGTCTATCAATAACAGTTTCTAAAGTCATTAGATAAAATGCTATCCACACTTTGAAACATTAATTTATTTCACAAAGTTAGGAAGAAGTTACTTAATCCCTCAAGTAATTGCCTTAGTAGAGAATTTGTGTCCTTAGTAATAGATTTTGTGTTTTTTCCAATGATCAACTGTGTTGTCTGCATGATTTCTTATTTCTTTAGTGTGTGTTATGTATGTACATAATTATTCATCTATATATGCATGTATACATTTGACCCCTTCACGTGGAGGTTTGAGGCTGACTTCAAGTATCTTCCTCAATTACTCTCTCATTTAAAAATTATATTTATGTATTTATATTATGTTTTGGGTCTTTTACCTGAATTATGTTTGTGTACTACACAATTGCCCATTGCCTGCAGATGCCAAAAGAGGACATTGGCTCCCTTAGAACTAAAGCTACAGACAATTTGAGCCATCATATGGGTGCTGGGTATTGAACTTGTGTTCTCTAGAAAAGCCAAAAGTGCTCTTAACCACTGATCTGTCTCCAGCAGTTTTATCCAAAAAAAAAAATTTAGGCTTTTCATTGAACCCAGAGCTCACTGATTTACTTGACTGTCCAGTGAACTCATGATCTGTCAATACAATGCTGAGTCATCTTTTGTGTCAGGAGACTTCCCTTTGTGAAGTTTAGTGTCATACAGGATTGTTTTATCAATGTATAGCTTTCCATTATCAAATTTGAAGCATGTTTTTATATCAGTAGATGTTTGGTTATTGACATTCCTGTTCAAGTGTGTTCATAATGTTGTGATTATAATGTTTTGAATATAACATTATAGTTGGCTTATTGTCAAACTAAAGTCAATACTAGGAACTATTATTTCCACATCTTCCTTTTGTTACCAAACTTTTATCTAGTATTAACATGATAGGTGTTATTACCCAAGAGAACAGATTTTTCAAAAAAAAAAAAAAACTTTATACAAGTTTAAAATTTGACAATATCATTAGATTTTACTGCAAAAAATCTTAGCACCGTATCTGTTCAAGTGGTGCAAAGAATTTTGGAAAAGGATACTTTCAAATGTTCATCGTTATAATTGACATTTTTTGGTTGGATACATGCATTTCTACGATAAAAGGTATTTTTATGTTAAAGGATTTTATAATGATTCATATCTCCTGGGAAATTTCTCTTCTCTAGCAAAGTTCAAAATTTTTTCTCATGTTCCGTTACATGGTCCTCGGTCAAAAGCTCAAGATAAAATCATTTCATTTAAAGATATGTTTTATCGGGATGTAACTGCAGTGTGTTGAATCTAATGAGGGGAGACTGGGGAAAGAAAATTTGAACTGACATAGGCTCTAGTTTTTAGAGTGAAACTTTGATGCTAAAAAATTGGATTTTTACAATAGTTGAGAACATCCCTGCATCTCAGAGGTGATCTTTCAATCTAGTGGTGGGTGGGGAACCCACAGCCTTTACAGGTTTGCATTTTAATCTTTAAACAGTAGATCATTCAGCCAAGATGAACAAAGTTACATCCCATCCACCTTGCCCCCCATCACTTTCCCCTCTAAAGGTGAATTAATAAGAGTCTATGAAAGCAGTTTTATGATTACTTACAAACTAGTGATTACTTACAAACCTGAAAAGGTCTGTAGTCTCTGAGTATGCCTTTGTAAAGCCATCCTTCGTTTTTCCCCATTGTTTAAGTTAACTCCAATTCCAGATTATAAGAGAGGCAAAGGGAAGTTGTGTAAGCCCTTCCCCCAGTGTAGAAACATTGGCTCTGTAACAGCTTGTGAATAAGGGGACAGTTGTTTGTGGTTTTTATAAACAAACCAAAAGTATATTTGGAATTTCCACACACGGAGAGCCAGAACAATTACCCCATATCTAAAATAGCCCTGAAGCTTGGTCTGGACATAACACAGGGTATCAGGAAATTGAAATAGTCCTCCTTGTAGCCCTAAAGGGATGTCATTTGCAACACCTGTTTGGAGGGAAGTAAATTGGGAATTGTGCCTACATTGCTTCTTTTCTAGCCAACTGCTATTCTTGCAATAAAATCTGATCATTCTTGGGAAATGGCACTACCTGTTTGTATATTTAGTTGTCTTGATCTGAGGTATAATAATTATAGCAATGCCTCTTAGTTGTTTAAGAATGATATTGTAACATCTTGATATATGATCCATGAGTTCTGGCAAGTCATCACTGATCCTGCTAATTCCTGAATAAATTATATAAAATTGCACTAGTCTAAAAAACTGAAATTCTAAGTACTATGTGGGTTTTAGGCTGTGCCAGGTGTTTGAGTCCAGAAGCTAACCCATTTGATTTGCTTCCAGGTCTTTTCAAATGGACACCTTGCCAATGAAGAATATGATGTTCCTCCTCGGCTTTCCCCTCCTCCTCCAGTCACTACCCTTCTCCCTAGCATAAAGTGAGTTTCATTGAATTTGTAGATTGTATGTCAATGCATAATGATATGTTAAAGAATGGTTTTGGTCTTCTTAGTACAAGAACTGTGGGGTGAACAAAAAGGATCAGTAAAGACAAAAGCAATTGAGTTGTGTTTATAAATTTAAGTATCATCTGTTGAGACCTCCTAGTTCTGATATTAGATCCTAAAGACATACTACTCTCCTAAGAAGACTAACAACAACATGGCAAGAAAGTTTAGTGCCCTTCATCCAAGCATAGGGCAGAACTGCACAGTGAGTTCTTTCCTCTATCCTTCCTCTTGGCTTTGACACACTACCCAGTTTCACAAAGTTAAAGTTCCCCCAAGCTCCCTACTCCTCAGATATCTTCAACAACCAAAGTCTGTTGATTGTCCTCATGGAGCTTCTTCTAACCAGTTAAGCTTCCCATTTCCAGCCCACACTCACAGCTAGACTTTTGAAAGACCTTTCAGAACATCATCACATCTACTCTAAGCTGGTATCAGTGGGTGTCGAACTGGGAATTTGGAACATGGCATCCTGGAACATGAGGTGATGTCTAGCCATGTTCCCGCTCCCCTTCTTCTTACATATTCTCTTCACTGTAGCTGATTTACTTTCCCTCTGGATGTCTCCCGCTCCCAAACCAGTTTTGCTTTCTGCTTTGTAGTTCTGTCTTCTTGTGCTAGTAATAAGACCCTTCAGAATTTTAACCAGCTGAAGGGTTTCTAATTTATTCCTAATGCTTGCCCTATAATTGTATGGACATCTGTCTGGTTTGTGTTTTTGATGCACTACTCCCTCCATAGTACCCCACTTCTTCCCCAAAATCCATGTCTCAGCCTCAATGTTTTATAAAAACATATTTGATTTCTGTTCAATGATTAATAGTGATTGGCAATGCCAGGCCTGGTAGTGTATACCTATAATCTCAGCACTTGTGAGGCTGATGCAGGAGGATTTCTGTAACTTTGAGGCTACTTGAGTTATATGAGTTCCATGGCAGCCTGAGCTACAGAGAGAGTCACTGTATCTGGAAATAATAGAAAAGACCAATACACATTCTTGTTACAAATTACTGTTGTATATAAGTAATTGTACTCTGCTATATTGTTTTCCTAATTTCAAAAGGTTAAAGGTTTATGCCATCTAATATTCTCATAGATTTTTTTTTAAATTCACTTTTGATTGTTTGATCTTTATCTGCTTATAATTTTTAATTTTCTTTTCTGTGTTTGTTCATTTTATTTGTTTTGGTCTATGGATCAATTTGTGTATCTTATAGCCAATTATATTGACAATTGGCTGCAGTCTTCTTTTGTTAACAGAAGCCTTAGAACATCTTCATTCCTTCCTCTGGAGGTCTTTGAACTCCCACTAGATTAACAAAAAGGAGAAGCTAACCCTCAACTTCCAGAAACCTATATACTCTAGAAAATAATATTTTATCATGTGTGATGTTCAAAGGAGAACACTCACCAGACAGAGTAAGCTCATTGATTAGTTTTAGTTTAAGGAAAACTGTTAGAAAATTTGTCAGTGAAAGAAGGTTCATAGATGGGACAGAATGTAAGTCTCTGAAGATGGGTGTAATTAGATACCACAGTGCCTTATGGTGTGGGGAGGGATAGAGTAGAATTTGATGTCATTCAGGGGAGAGCAGAGAAGCTGAGCTATTGGTCATTTCCTGAAGGAGTTGCCAGGTCTGTAGGAGACACAGCATCCAGAAGCAGTTTCAAACACCCTGTGTCTAAAGTCTAGTCAATGAGAAAACCTTGATAGTCTAGTTCCATGTAGATTCTAATGTACACACAGTAAGACAAAGACAACTGAGCTACCTCCATCACCTCTAAATGGCCTTGATAGTCTAATTCCCCTTAGACTCTACTGTACACATAGTAAGTCATCTGAACTAGTTCTGTAACCTCTAAATTCAGGGTTTTCAGAAACAAATGAAATGAAATTGTCCTAGTTACTGAAGAACATCCACCACCACCGCCACCACCGCCGCCGCTGCCACTCACAGCCCCCATGGCTTACTTACTTACAGCTGAGTGTGACTGGAGAAGGGGTTGTGGTTTTCTGTGTTTCCATTTGGTCCTTCTATAAATTAACTTGAACAACAAAATCATAGCAAAGTGCATTCATTGGTGATCATCTGGTACTTCATTTTGTGAGAGCTCCAACATCAGGTTATGTTTCCTCTCCATTTTCTAAATTTTCCTCAATAGTTCTAGTTTTAACTAGAACCATATTTTAACAGACATGTTAGCAGCAAATTAGTTTTGATATTGCATGTTGCAAATTATCCAAAGTTGTGTTGGATTTTGTTAATATATTTTCCCCCCTAACTATAACTGAAGAAATTATGCAAAGTATATAAAAAGTAAAATCATAATCCTAACAGCACTTAGGCATACCAAAATTACCAACATCCAAATTTAATACATGTGCATTTTTGTATTGAGACCTATTTTAGCATCATTTAGGATGTTTGTGGAGATGATGTCGTGCTCTCCCTTGTCACTTGATATCATCATATCCATTTTCCTCAGAGTATAAACACTGTTTTTCCTCTGAAATCATGAAATTCTGAAGTCACCCATAGAATAAAATCACATTGGGTTCTACACTTTACTCCAACATTTATTAGTTGTCCTATTTTAAAGGAGGTCTCTCTGGACATGTAACTTCTATAAATGATAGGATACATTTAACTTAAATGTTATTTAAAATCCTTTGAGCTTCAATTCTCTATACAGAAACTGCTGTTATTGGCTGGGTGGTATTAATATCCTGGAAATTTTGATAACCTGAATGTTCTCAAGTATAGTTGGCTCACTATATTCTATTGCATAAACCAATATGAGTTGAGCTATTGCCCTTACTAATGTCACTATTATAATGATTATATTTTTACTATAATCATCATATTATTCATATTCTTATTATTACTATATCTGATATTATGTTGATAATGAAATTGTACATTGGATAATATTCACATCACTTATTATTAATACTACTCTACTTTGACCCACTGGAGAGTATGGTCTGAATATGGCCTGGATAATAGAGAAAGGCTCTTAGGAAAATGCCTATGCCCACTGACACAGGGCTATTGGACTGTTAGATGCCCATTGCCATGCTAAATTCTTGGTCAGTGATTGAACATCAGGCCAGAGTAAATTTGTATATCACTGCCTGAAATAAACATACACTTCTCACAAATGGTGAAAATCTCCTGTTAAATTCAGGACACCAAAGCTAGAAGTAGCATTAATTTTCAGCCACACTGTTCAAATAGTTTTCAAGATTATTAGACATCAGATAGTGGTACTTGATGCCCATTTTCTTGAAGGCAGAAGATAATCTGTGAGGTATGCTTTCAGGCTAATCTTCATCCTGGTGTCATGTGACTCACTGCCCAATTTATAATTCGTTTCTGAAAATATGCTAGTGTAAAGTAAAAGTAAACAGAGTCATTGTTTGTAGGGATACTTTAATTCCTAAAATGTTTTTTTCTAAATGATTTATATTTAATGTTATTGACAATTAACTGTAAATACAAAGCTTTATGTAAAATCTTAAAATATAGGTATTTATTATAATAATGTTTATAGAGAGGACAAAAATTCTACATGGATTATTTTACTTTATTAAATACATAATATAAATTTTTTATATAAGTGTATATTACATGTTTGCTTACTGAATTATATTTGACTAATTACATTTTTAAGTGTAATCAAATAGAAGACTAAATGGTTCAAACATCTATTGTCCTTGACATACTAGTCTGTCAAATAAACAGAGACAATGTTTTAAACAATAATGAAGCAGATATTTCTAACTAAAACAATGTTGAAGAATGCTGAAGGATGTCACTGCTCTGTGCTCTCAGAAATGGTTTCCTTATACTTTGCTATTTATAAATGGTCGTTGCGCTTTTGACATATTAATCACAAGTTTTCAGATACCTTGGAACCCATACTACTTGGTTCATAGTTTTCTTAAAGGGTTCTCGGTTGTGGGAGACCATGGTATTTATTATTATACATCTTTTAAGCAAATAAGGTACCAATTTAGGGGGTTCATTGAAAATAGCTATCTTTCTTTCTGTTGCTGTGCTCACTGGAGACTGGGGAGAACAAGGAAAGCCTCCATCCCCTTCAGAATGGGTGCTGTAACTAAGGAGAGGAGAAAGTAACAGGGAGCTGCTGGGGTTGGATGCTGTCAGTCAGGGGTAAGTGCCTGAGGGCAAATCAAAGGCCATAGGATAACTAATGACACACAGGCTGGAGATGGGGTCCTGAGGAAAGACCTCTCTGAAAGGGTATGTTTAAGCAGAACCAGGGAGAAGGGAGAGAGAGAGCCCAATCTGTCTGTGTGAAAAGCGTGATCCCCCAGGCACAAGTGTGGACCGACTGCGGCTCTGTCTTAGGGTTAAAAGCAAATTTGTGAAACCGCTCCCTATCAAAGCTTATTCTAAAGCTGGAGGCTCCTGCACACCCGCCCCTTCTTGATAGCAGGAAAGAACCCTCAAAATCATTGTAAAACTCACGCCAGTATTTTTGGCAAATAACTTATGTGCTGCAAACACAAAATAATCATGTCAAATATCACTGGTTTGTTTTGTTGATTCTTAGGCTTTGGTTTCTCTGAGTTACAGATGTTTCTTGTGCTGGTAAGAACGGTGTAGCACAAAAAAAAAAAAATCACGAAGTAAAACATATGACAGCTTGAGCTCCTATTTTAATAAAAACATTTGTATCTTTACATTCTGCCATTGGTGAGTGAAAAGAGATTCTTCTATATAGAAAACAAGTAAAATGGCATATAATTTAAAATGCTTTTCAGTCTATGAAAGGTTCTGAAAATTGTTGCTCTCTCTCGCTCTCTCTTTACCAGCTTGACCATTTTCTTCAATACGCCCTCATTATTTTTATCTAAAAGCTTGTAAGTGCTCAGTTATGTGCAGAGTAGGGTAATCCTTGATGAGCTTGGGGTCTTCCTTAAACAATTCAGACAGAAATCGTAAGATAACAGTATAGTAAACACACCAATGAAAATACATAATGCTAAGTATACATAATAGGAAAGGTCAACGAAAATTATCGAATTTGTTGCGAGGTCAGGGGGATTTTTATAGACACCAGAAATGTGAAGGAGTCTGCTTTTTGTTTCCAAAGAAAGTTAATGTGTCAAGGGTTACCTCAATTAGGAATGAACACCACTTAAAGGAGATAGTTAAGGTCTGTTCTAGGGTTGAATGGTAATGGTGTGTGTAGACAGTCATCCCTGTGGTTATGTACCTCACTCTGGGAATGTACAGTTCTTGGGAGGAGTACATTTGTGAGCTTTCAGCTTTGAAAAATTTAAGTGCTCACCAAGTACTTCAAAAGATATCTGTGAGTGCCTGAAAGTCGGCCCCTTCCTTAACATCAAGCATACACTTGTACATTCAAGTCAGCAAATGAGTGTGTGTTTAAGAAGGCTCAGATGGCTTACAAGTTTTGCAGCCTGGAAAAATGTATCCCCATGTTCAGTGACTCAGGAATGGCAGCAGAGTACAAGACAAAGCAGGAATGTGGAGTAATATAACAGTATTAAAATAATGGGTATAAATGGCTGGGGTGGTGACTTGGCATCTTTAACCTGGAGCCAGCCAAGTAGCTTGTCTGCTTCATTCCTCTGGGAGCCTAGAAATGTCACTTAAGGTATATCAGTGATTGAAGTCCCTAAGTCTACGTCCTAGATAACATACACAAACAATGATCCTGAGTTTATTTATGCCACCCCATCTCTTGTTAACTAACACATAAACATTTGGATGAGTTTTTAGAGGGGAAAACTTGCACATATAACTACCCAGCAGCTAATTATGTGACGTTAGATTTGTCTTGTGTATCTCTTACACAGTTTCTTATTTGAACCTTTGTCTTCTCTTTCTTTTTGTTACAGAGGTGGCTTTCATTTTTCTCATACAAAAAGCATAATGCTTAATGAATAGTGCCAAATGGACATTAAAAATTGGTTTGTGTGTAGTTTAAGTAGAATATTATAATTTTCAGAAAGAGTGATGGAGATAAAATATATAATATTGACCAAGGTCACATTATCTCAGAAAAATCTAAAAAATCACATGTTCTCCCTCAAGATATATCTGAGCATGTATGTGCACTTGTGCCTGTGAATGTGTGTAACGTGGGTACACTATAAGGTGTTGGAAGAAAAACAAGAAATGATTAATTTTAAGTGAAGAGAAAGGATCTGGTAGAGGTAATGGACTCTTGAGTGGATGTAAATTCTCATTGATTTTTCTAGCTTTGACTAATTAAAGAGGGATATAATAGTAATTACCCCTATAGCCTTAACTCTGTCATATATCTTCCATTTGTTGGGGAGGTGGGTAAATGCATAAATATATTTGATAGTCAGGATATAATGTCCAGCTTCTACCTGGCTACTCTAACTGTACAGAAGTTCTTTAAAATATATAAACTTTGAGTTTCGCTGTGATGGATTTTTTTTTACAAGTTTTATGTAAAGTTTTAATGAGTTTTTAAAGCATTAAAAACCTTTCTTAAAGGACTTTATTAAAATAATGAAAATGGGAAATACCAGCATGTATTTTTCATATTTCAATATAAAGATCACATAGCTTTCTTCATTTCCAGTTATAACACACCAAAATCCATTTCATTCACCTGAGAAAATCCCCAAATAGTAATTTCTGACATTAAGCCTTTATTGTTTGATAGAATTGTTGACTTTCATATTTACATCAGTTATTTTCCAACTAACCAAAGAATGTTGATCTTGCATTTAGCCATTCAAGATCTGTCAGTAAAGGTAAAAATTGAGAATTATCCACAGCAGGTGAGATTTTCTTTTTTAATTGTCCATTCTTGCACTGGCAAATGGTCAATGGTAGAGACACTTGCTGTAGTATTGGACAACCTGAGTTCAACCCCTGGGACCCACATAGACAGACTAAGAACTGATTCCCACGAGTTGTCCTATGACCTCCACACATACCTTGGTATGACCACACATATATACATAAATAAATAATAAATGTCATATGGAATAAAAATGATTATTCATTCTTCATAATGAAGTGCTTCTTTGGAACTAATGTGTGACATATTTGAAGATTCCTGCTGTTAGTGTGTTTATTGAATCTTAGGCCAAAATTTTCTCTCTTCTCTGCGTTATCTACTTAATTGTATAAAGTTGAGTGCATTGAGAACAAAAGCACACCAGCACACAGATTCTTCTTATAGAGACACACTGGTCCCTGCAGTAGTTGGTGAAATTGATGTCTGTTTGTATTAATTGAGAATTTGCAAGAAAATAAAGGTGTTTTATACTCATTAAAATACCATTAGGTTATCATTTTGAAACTTATGTACTTGCCTACCATTAGCTGGAAGGTATCTTCCAAGGTTCAGCCTTATTGGCTGTAGTTTGTTAATGAATGCCATGGCCTGTGTTCTGGACTTAGGTCCCCATTAACTGTTACCAAATCCTAAAGTACCCCTACCAAACATGGCTTTAAAAATCAGTGCTGAAAACTTCTTCAAAGAAGGATAAAAAAACTTGTGAAGACTCCTGAAGGAGACGATTCTTTTATCCCTGAACTCTCTAGACATTTATCTATAGAGTTGAAACTTAAATACCTTGAGCTTTTCAAAGTATCTTTCCCAATGAACACATGCATACATGCACACACACAGAACACCACTGACAGTGTTTTCCATTGTAAAAGCTGTTTGTCCTAACTGACCTGAAAGTGAAATAATTCTAGAAAATTCTCCAAAATCCAAAGCTTTTGAACATTGCATTAGGAGTGTAAACTGGTAAAGTATGCAAATGTTCAAAATTTGAAGAAAAAACAATCTGAAAATCTGTTTCAGTTCCAAGGAGTTCAGATAGGGACACTCAACTTGTGGCAAGAAGAAATGAAAATGAAAAACACATAGGCATGATTGCCTCATAAACCAAAGGGCTCTTGCTCCCTCTATAGAAGGTGCTGAAACATTACACTTTTTTTTTTTTTTTTAAATGAAACATTTCCTATGAAATTCATGATGATTAAATGGGTTTGGATCCATGTTTTCCTAGTATCTTACAAACAGATTTGAACATTTTTTCCTTTGGAAACTTCCTTGGGCCATAGCAGAATTAGATTAAATTCCACAGAGGAAGTAGAAAGTATTTTTCACTTTTATGTATTTACCCAAATGGTGAAGGAAAAAGCTCAAATTTATCATGGTATTAGGTAATTATATTTTCATTGTAACTCCTTCTACTAATTAGATATTGAAAACTATAAAAATAATGCTTCTCAATTTCAAAGGTTTAATGAATTCTCTGATTATCTGTTTCTAATTCTGGTCATGTTCAGCTCTTAGTTGTTGCTGAGAAGAATTCTAGCACTAGGATCATCAGTTCATAACAAAGCAGTTTCTTAAAGCTTTTTTAGAACTCTAGGTAATAGTCACAGACTAAAAGTCTGTATCTGTAAAGAGCTTCACTTTTATACAGTCCTTTCTTTATGTCATAGTTTATTTATTTTACTTACACACCCTTTAAAAACCATAGGTATGCATATTTTGTCTTAAGGGCATTTCAAGGCCTTTCCATTTACATTGGATGTAAGAACGGATTATATTTGAAAAATGCAAGTGACAAAGTCGCTTCTTTATTTGTGTATGTCACAGCAGACCTTCCTGATGGGAGTATTTATGATGTTTGAACCAGCTTGGATTGTTGTTTTTCTTCCTTTTGGTAGGTGTACTGGTCCATTAGCAAATTGTCTCTCAGAGAAAACAAGAGACACAGTAGAGGAAGATGACGATGAGTACAAGATTCCTTCATCCCACCCTGTTTCTCTGAATTCACAACCATCTCATTGTCATAATGTCAAACCTCCTGTCCGGTAAGAAGATGAGTACCCTTCTACCCATCCTGCATCTGCATAAACATCATCAGACTGTTAAGCATTGGGGTTATTTGTATGCAGTTCAACCTTATGTGTTTGGCTGTCTGTAACTTCCTGCTCCTAGCCTACCATTCCTTTATATTTCCTTCATTGCTTTTAGGTAAAACATTTTGTTCTCTTCACACAACCTAACCCATAAAAGCCAAATTACAATCTAATAAAATGTAGCTATACATTACATATGATGATTAATGCATGCATTTCCCCTAAGATATTTTAATAAGTTATATCAGCTCTGAGCATATATATCATGAAGAAAAATTAGTGCTTAGAAACTAATATTAAGGTGCTAGGTCAACCTTCCTTAGAATTTTTTTTTATAATGTAAAGACTAGCATAATTTATATCCATTTCCCTTCTTGATGTGTAATGTGCTTCTACTGAAATCATAAGACAATGAGGGGGGCAAGCCCTATAGTTTCTTCTCTTGTTTTTTCAGCAAGTACTGTTTTACCTTCTCTTGTTTGGGATAAGAATATAAAGAACACTAGTTTTCTCTTCTTTTTGTTGTTTGTTATCTTCACTGTAATGGGGACATTTTTGGTTTTTGAAGTGTTAGCCACATTGAATTTTGTAAGAGCTATCAATAATGGCTTACATATATTGAAATACTAGTTTGTCCTAAAGTAAAATCATGATTTTGCATGCATATAACTTAATGTAAACTGTAATAGCATTTATATAATAATACTTATCTTACTGACATGTCAAGTGTGTAGCAATCTACTCTTAGCTTTAAAACTTGCTTTGCAATCTTGGGTTTCCCCTGGCTGTGTATTCCTGGAGATGTGCTTGGCTTAGTTCTGCACAGCCCCTGCTGGTGGCTGCCCTGCCACCCGCAGCCTTCTTAAGACAGAGTGATGAGATACAGTGAAACCATCAGCTGTCAGTCCCATATTTACCTAGTGTCCTGACTCATTTTTAGGCCAGGTCAGTCAGCTGATAGCATTTTATGAGTAGCATTTCTTTCTCTTAAGATGAAAATACTTGTCCAAGTGTGTCACAAGTAGAAAAGGAAATACTTAGAAAAGAAGTGGTCTGGAGTTTTTGTTTGTTTGTTTGTTTGGTTGGTTTTTGGTTTTTGAGACATGGTTTTTCTGTATAGCCCTGGCTGTTCTGGAACTCATATCATAGACCAGGCTGGCCTAAACTCAGAGAATTACCTGCCTCTGCTTACTGATTCCAGGACCAAAGGCATGTACCAACACCACTTGGCTAAGATCTTTTTCTTTTCTTTTCTTTTTTTTTTTTTTTTTTTTAAACGAGAGTTGTGTCTCATAAAGGATGTTGGTGGGCAGAGTTACTACCAAGGCTTAGTGATGCACTGAATTCTGTGCTCTCGCTGAGTATGGCAAGAGCCAGCTATTTATTGTTAAACATGCTATTGAGTGTTAATGAGAAAAAAATAACTGGGAGGGCATTTGTTACATTGGGAGAACATGGCATCCACAGAGCTAGTAGAGAGAAAGTCTTGCCTTCTCATCAAATATAAATTTCTAACAAATTCCAATTCTTTGGCTCTTACTAATGTGTAGTAATTTTTAAAAGCTGAAATTGGACAGGAATTTTTTGGTCTCTTTGGGAATCTCATTCTTTTCATGGCTGGAAAACTGAAGGATACAATTTTAATCATCAAATTTTAATTGTCACATCACAGTAAATGAGATTTCAGTGACTGGCCTCTTGGATACTGAACGTAATTTGAATTATGACCATCATAACCATCTCCCTACAGCTATAGAGAAGTAATAAATGTTGCTAATCCCTAAGCTTAATTGTAATGAATTCTTTATCTAATTTGTTCTCAAAAACCAATAGATGGAGTGACATCTCATGTCATCTGCAGAGTACTTCCTGTCCAAAGCACTTCCTTTTCCTGTATATCAGTCACAACCCCCGAACATCAATAAAAGTAAATTGTCAATATGTAGGAAGTGAAACAGTAAATGAATAATTCAATTCAGTTTCAGCAAAATCCATCATCATTATGAAGATTCAATACGTAACTGTTCTTAAATGAACCATATCTTGCCCGTTAAAAGAAGTGGCCACCAGAGAGAACAGAAATGAATTTTAGATGAATCACTCTTGCAGTATCTATTGAAATATCTACTGTCTCCTCCATTATGCATGTACTTTTACTTTGCTCTAAGAAATCAGAATAATTCAAAAGAAAAGTATAAAACTTCACTTTCTGTAGCTCTTTGTTAGCCAGCTGTTACTAAGTCAGATGCTAAAGAGCAAGTGTGTTCTGTATCCCCTGGCTGTCCTGCATCCTCGCATGCCCAGTTTCATCCCACACCAAAATTATGCCATTTTAGTAAATTAATATTTACCTGTATTGAAGCATTTGCTGTGCACCCAAAGCCTTTGCTGACATCACTTCTCTAAGGTGTCAAGAGAGCTAGTGTTTGCTCTGCCTAGTAATGATACAGGTTTAGAAACTATAGGTCTTTGAGTGTTCCATGCTAAACTTAAATGAAACTGTTAAATGCTTCATAGTAGTTCCTCTCTTTTAACACCCTATTCTAATTTTATTTCAAAGAATGCTTAAGAGGCATGTTAAACAAAGGCATTCAATGTAATTAGCAAATATTGAGGCTGTTAGAACTTACATAGTTTTGTGTGAGATATATATTTCTCTGTCACTTCAGAACTTTGGTCAGGTGCAATTGAAGTCTTGCAAAGATATACATTAGCTTCACAGGTATGTTTAGGGCTTCCCTAGCTCTTGATAGTTTTAGTAGCTCTGGCTTTAGTTGAAGGAAGAGACAACTTTACCTTCAAACATGTATATCTAATTTTTAAAGTGCATGTCTGATAACATAGTGTTACTAGTACTTTGTTCCACAAAAAGACAATTGTTTTTTTGTTTTGTAGTCTTATTACCTTAGTAGGTATGAGAGTCTCTTCTGTGATCCTCACCTCATGCCCACCATGACTTTCAAGTGATTCTTACCCTCTGGTTTCCACTTTAGGTCTTGTGATAATGGTCACTGTTTATTGAATGGAACTCATGGTACGCCTTCAGAGATGAAGAAATCAAACATCCCAGAGTTAAGCATCTATTTGAAAGGTATGTATGGAATATATTTTCCTTTGCAATATGCATCTTAACGGCTGGAATTTAAAGCCAAAGTTCCCTTCTGTTTTCATACTGAAAATACATTAAGGTTTTGTGTTATCCTCTAGGAGATGTTTTTGGTTCAGCCTCTGATCCAGTGCCATTACCACCTGCCAGGCCTCCACCCCGGGACAACCCAAAGCATGGTTCATCACTCAACAAGATGCCCTCTGATTATGATCTTCTCATCCCTCCATTAGGTTGAAACTTTAAAAACAGTTTAAACAACCCCTGCTCTCCTCTCTTTATCTGCATTATTAGAATTAAGAGCTCAGTATAATGCAGACACTGGGTTGAGAATTCGCCTAATCTTAGAATAGGTCCACCAGGTGATGGTGGCTCCTGTGTCCATGTGACAATCACTCTACCAGAAAAATTTATGGTATAGGAAATAGCTGTGAAGTTTTAGGTGGTTTTCATAACATCTTTGGTATTTTTTAATGAGTCTGAATTTTCTATAATAATTTACTACTTTTATATTTAGAGCAAAATACTAGTTTGATGTAAGCAATATTTCAACTGTATCATCCTTTCAAAACTAAAACAAATGGATGACCTAAAAGAACTGACCATCAGTGAGGATCTCATCAGGTGTCCATTCTAGACTAGATTCTTTGTTAAAATCCAAGAGTGTTGCTAACTTCCCTGGCCTGTGTCCCATTGGTGTTCAGGTGATGGTCTGGAGTGGTTAAGGCAGGTTCCCTCCAAGTGTACTAATTCTTAGTAAGCATGAGCTGCACTTGACTTTAGCGTGAAATGGCCAGGCCCTCTTAGGTTAACTGAATTATTTTTTTAAGTATGTATTTCATTCTTGAAAACACTAACCCGTTCAAAAGCTTCTCTGAATTGTCTGTTCAACCACCAAGAATATTAAGTGAACTCTCATATTTCCTGATATGCACCACCGAGCAGTATTGGGAACTGTCTGATTACAATGTCCTTTGTGTCTGTTTTATTGGTCAGGAGTTTTTGTTTTGCTTTTTTCTGTTTTTCTTTATCTGCCTGAAGTCTACAACCTTCCTAACTCCTTGTCTATAGTCTTGTTTCCTTGTTTGCTTTTTCTCTGTACTGTGTCTTGACCCATTGCCCAAATCTCTATGGTCTAGATTACACTATATAGTAGACTTCTTTGTGGGGCAGACTGTCAGAGATCTGTGTGTTTGAATCTGGTCTGGTGAAGTCATTTTGTTGTTGTTCAACATAATAGCCATAGGTAGATGATGCCCATTCTACTTAAGCTATGAGAATAGAAATGTCAACCTGTGTCTTTTCTCGGGCCCTCCTCCAGCTTATTCTGTGCATCAGTTCATACTGTTCCCTCTGCTAAGGACATGCTTGTTGTTTTTTTCCCCTAAATATCTATTTCCAAACCTCTGGTGTTCCACATGTTCCTGACTCACCACTCATGGATGCCACCTGTATCTCCTCTCTTCTCATAAACCTCTGATCCATCTTTAAGACCAATCAGACACTTTGACCTCTCAGCCATACATGTGTGAACAGGTGAACAGGTTTTAGCTCCCTATGATAGAATCTGAGCTCCTTAAGGTTTGATATTCATATCATTCCATTTCTAGGATGGTGCTGGTACTGAGGGCCGGAAAGATTTGATTATGTGACAGCAAGAGCCTCAAATGATAACAAATTTCTCCTATGTCTTCCAATATTTCTAATTAGAAAAATATTTTTGGTGATTAGATCAAATATTCTGTATATTCTTACAAAGTAAGCATGATGAATGGCAAATTCACTTTAAAGTATTTATACTTAATGCATTCAGCTAAAATACATGTGAGCTTTTATTATTAGAATATGAAGTTGTTTACAGATAGCCTGTCTTACTGACAGCATATGTGATATACATATTTGGAAACTATATTTAGCTCACTTCATTTTTTGAAAGGTTCAAGGTAAGAAAAAAACTCTGGATAATCTAACAAAGAATAGCAGGGATAAATATATAGACATAAGACCACAGTGCAAAATATTGTTCATAGTAAACGTTAGAAATACATACATGTAGGTAACCAGCTCTGGAGCCAATCAAAAGGGACTCTTCATTGACATGCTCTTCTCAGGAGATGACTGCTAAGTAAACAGTATATTCCCCTACACTTGTGTATTTGCTGTATATTTTGATGGTAAATGGAATGTTTGGTACAATTTAAATGAATTACAGTCTACTGGAACAAATGTGAGGTGGTGGTTGGAAGTGCCCTCCAGCATTAATTTATATGTGCATAGTGTGATTTTTCTCGTGAGAGGCCATGAACCTTATTGCTCCAAGATTTCTGTTTTACTGATAAAATTTTCAGTACAGAGTTCTAGTGTACTAATAGTACAAAGGTTACAAAGAGATCATGAGCTGGTTCATAATCTGAAATGCTGCTTTTTACAGAAAAACTCAGGAAACAGGGAAAAAAAGGTTTCATGGGGGTGTCTCAGTGTTTTGTGTGTCTGTGTATTTTCTTTCCACACTTTCCCACAATATAATCAATTTCATCATGAAAGTCAATGAAATGTTGAATAAAATTGCAATTGAACTTACTTAGAAGTACTGGGAGAAAAATCAGTCATGGCTTTTACTTGACTAGTGTGTTTTGATTAATGAAGTTCTACTGTTGATAATGGCCTTTCTTTAAATGCAGGTGAAGATGCTTTTGATGCTCTCCCCCCATCTCTCCCTCCTCCCCCACCTCCTGCAAGACATAGTCTCATTGAACATTCGAAACCTCCAGGCTCCAGTAGCCGACCTTCCTCAGGGCAGGACCTGTTTCTTCTTCCTTCAGGTAGGAGTGGGTGGAAAGACAAGGAAGAATTTCCTCTTAAAGTACATCTGAGATCATGCTGTCAAAGTCATGTGTTTCCTGAGTCTGCCACACCAGCACAAAGACTTCTGGGTAGTTAGAATAGTACTTGACTAGTTTGCTTGACACCAGATTTGAATTAATAATGGAACATCACAAAGATGGAAAGAACAATGAAAAATCATAGTGGTTTCCCATGGCCCATTGGCTGACTTGACACCCATGTGCATGTAGGCAGCACTAGTTGAATTTAGTGTGTTCTTTAATATTTTTTAAACGATGCAAAATTGAACTGGAGATATGTTCATGGAGCAGGAAGTTGAAGGTTCATTGGAGGGAGATGGGACTGGGTTGTATATTGTACATTGTATAGATGTAGGGAATTTTTAAAGATAGAAGAGAAGGGAAGGGCAAGGGGGGCATGTTCTGTATATTATATGAAGCAAATAATACCTTCAGGTGTCAGCAGGATCCACCTTCATGTAGCTTATGGATTCCCAGGATGCTGCTACCAAAGATCAAGTGTCCTAAGGTCATCTGCTCCAAGTAAAAAATAAGACAATCTACAATTACAAATTACAACTCTTCGGTGCTAAATTGTAGGCAGCATCTGATTGGCTTCCTCTGCATTCCTATTGTATGCATGATTTAAGTTCTGATTCATGAAGCCTCTGTGTAGTGGATCCTTTTACTACAACACAATCACAATTTCCAAGAGCTAGCAGAAAATATTTTGTTACATTTTATAAAACGTTTAGTCATTTTTTTTTTTTCTAAAAAATACAGTGCTAATGGTATTTAGCTAATGGTAGTTCTTCACTCCGAAAATAAAACTTGATGAAAGGCACACTTACTAGAGTACATTTCAGCTCAAAGGTAGTTGCACAACTGACTCTTTGTGGTCTCCCTGCTGTCTAATGTGTTCCTAATTAGTGTACTCAAATTATGTCGAAGGGCTGAGATTTGAGTTCCTTGAGATAATATCCCACTTTAAAGACAAGATAGATATCTTACAATAAAGATAATGCACTTTCTCAAAATATTATATTAAGTGCCTGCCTCTGTGTGCCAGCTTTCTATGTCTTGCACAGCTGAATCGGGTTCATTGTGCCAGCCTTCCCACCCATGAACTTCTGTGTAGTTCAGTTTTCAGATTGCAGGAGCTACCCTTCTTCAAAGAAGCCTCAGGACTCCAGGCGGATGGAGGAAGGGAAACATGCAGGGACCCGGCTCGGTTCCTCCTTTGTGCTTCCCTTCTTGGGCTTTCCAATAAAGGTTTCTTTTGGCAAAATTATAATTCCTACTGTCGTATGTGAGCCATCCATTATGAGCAAGCCAATCGAACCTTCACAAAGCCGGAGTCCTCAACAAAAGCTCCATGATTTCCCATCCCCAAACGCAAGGCAACTGCTGGCATACATGCCTTTTTCTGTGTGTAACAAAAAAGAGAGAAAGGAAGCATTCCTTTGTGTGGGAAGGTTGAAATAGGCATTTCTGCAGCTTCGTGCCAGGGCCTGCGCTTCAGCAACAAAGCCAGGACAGCACTTAAGTCTCTATCACACCCCGCATGGATGTCTTTGTGAAGGGCACTGGATGCACTGTGTGTTTGGCATTGGCAGCCTTGTTTCAGCTTTCTCTCAATATTCCTCTAGCCCAGAATCTCATTGCAAGTCCATATCCAATCTTAAAGTCAGTGTATAAGCTTGAAGTCCAGTTAAGTTGGCGTTGTTGAAGAGAAGTATTATTTTTAACTTGGAGACATAGATGTTCATCTGCATAAGTAAAATACAAAGAGATACCAGGGGATTGGCAACAGCCATGGAAAAGCACACTGGGGATATGATCTACTCAACCCTTCTGAAGAATTCTCATGATGGGGATAGCCAGAGAGATCTTCCCACCTGGGAAGTTGCCCTCACAGAACTAGCGTCAGATGAGTAAGGTTGTCTGGGGTGTCCTTCCCATGTGGAGTCCGCCATGCTCACATGTGAGAAGTTACAGGGCAAGGAGCACTCCTTCCTCCTGCAGCTCAGCAGCATCTTCTGAGGATTTGCTGTGAGTAAGAAGTCACTTACTTGCTTAAATTAGACTATACACAAAACTGCTTCCTGAGCAAACTGATCGCATTGTATATGTAACAGTCTCCAAAACAACAACAACAAAAAAAGCATATGACTGTGTTGGGCATTGGTTGGGCATTTTCAGTTTGTATGTTTTAATTATAAATATAGGCATTAGGCTTACTTAGTTTAGAGAATGCAATTGCCAAAACTTTATTTATTTTCATATTTTCCTTATCAGAGGACAACTAGTAATTATAACCCTGTGGGTAGTAATTATTCTACATGGTGCCATTTCCTTTGAAACAGTAGCTCCAATTCCATAACTTTCAGCAGGGATACCCCTTCACCTCGTACCTCACCAGGATCAACTTAGCTGGAAGCAAGGTACAGACCCTAAGTGGTTTTGCTATGGCCGTAATAATTTAGTGTATCCTTCTTTAGGTAAAATGGCTTAATGGAAGACATTTTAAAACTACAGTTGGTATATTTTGTAGTCCATTTATTATGCTGAAATGTATACAGAATTTACCTTCATTAGCTTTCAGTGATTGTCTAGAAATCACATAGACATGTTTGGTAAGACTGAATTACCTCTAAGGCAATAAACAAGTGTAGATACTAGGAAGGTACCATAAAGCTGGTGGTAATTGCTGCAGGAAGAGGAAATGCAATAATAATTGGCTAATGACTTTAAGTGGTGCTTACCTTCTCTAGTTAGAAATAAGTATAAAAATAGGCAAGTTTGAAAGCACGTGAATGCTTCTTGAATAATCACATCCTATATATTATTGTTGTCAAATTTCAATGAATAACCAATGAACTAAACTGTAGCCTAACTATATATATTTGCAGTCTGTCTGTCTTTATGTAAAGTCTAGGTCTGCATGAATTTGTTTTTAGTAGTTAAATATTTAATAAGAATAATCTAATTGTCAAGCAGTTTGCCTGTTGCTATATTTGAGTAAGGAGATATGATATAAATCATTTAAGTGAGGAAAAGCCTGCCCTCCAGAGAACTTGGAATCAGAGATGGTACCATCAGAGTAAAATGGAATGAGGGAAACCTGAGAGTGGAGGTGACGGCCTGTAAGGGGCCAAAGATGTCAGAGATGATGTTTTTTATTATTCTTCTCTTTAGAAAAGCCCATGTACTACTAATTTAAAGCAGTTAGACCTGTGGTGCCTTCTAGTCTGTCTACACAGGCGTGTTTTCTTCCACTTAACGAACTGTGTCATGAATGGTGAAGTCACTTTGGAATCTACAATTTATGTTTTACAATTTTTTCATGATAATGTTTTTACAAAGCACATTTTTACTGTGTATTCAAACTTCTATTTTTTTTTAAGTAATTGAATTTAGTATTCAATGAGCCAGCCTGACAACTGAGTTTTAGCATGTTTTGAAACTTCCAATATAGTAATATAGTGCAATGGATAAAGAATACTTTATATTTACAGATATTTCTACATACATTTATTTAAAAATTCCAAATTTCAGGTCTCTTTAGAGATTTATGTTGACATACAGCTTGAGGAGCCCAAAAGTAGACACCCCCCTTTTTTTTTTCTTACTCTTTCCTTAGCAGCTTTCCTTCATTGAAGAGCATATGTGGGGACCTTAGTGTTAAGAGGAGGCTAAATTAGTGATCTGAAAAGAAAAATAAAAACCTGTAGTCCTATTTTCAGAAGTCAAGTGAGTAGCTTACCTGGACAAATGAATGAACTAAAAAACCTGCACAGTCAAAGTGATTATTATTGGTCAGGAAATTAGTTGTCCAATTCATTATAGGAATCTACAGTCCTTCAAAAGTTCCCCTACTTCTTTCTTCATCCAATCAACAGAGATCATCCTTTTAATTAAAAAATTATCTTTATTTTTTTTTTCCAAGATCCTTTTTTTGACCCAGCAAGTGGCCAAGTTCCTTTGCCTCCTGCAAGGAGGGCACCAGGAGACAGCCTCAAACCCAACAGAGCCTCCCAGGACTATGACCAACTCCCTTCATCTTCATCTTCAGGTGAGTTGGCTGGGAACAGTATCAGGAGGGATGTCCTACTTTATATAGCAGCTTTTGCTCTAGCTTTAGTTTATTGCATTATACCTAAGCATCCACTTACTTTTAACATCTTTTGTACTTGACTTTTGAAGCTAGTACATATAAAAGCAACACCCAGAACACTGCCTCAGGAAAAGAAAAGTGAGGCTTAATATTTTGTGTGAGCAGTCAGTAAGTCCATGGTCTTTGTTTCAGGATATATTTGTTTTGTTTTTTTTTTTTTAAAACTTACATTTTGTCTCATCAGATTTGAGTAATACAGAAAATCTCTTTGTGTGTCTGCCTATGCTGTGTTCTTTCTTCTCACCAATATTACTGTTGGGTTCTTTTGTTTGTTTGTTTGTTTGTTTGTTGTGTAGGTTGGTTGGTTCATTTGTTCCTTCATTCATTGGTTCGTTGGTTAGTCGGTTCATGGTTGGTTTTGGTTTTTAGAGACAGGTTCTCATGGAGACAAAATTCTTCCTAATAGCTATCATTACCCCATATTTTGCCATTCAGTTATGTGTTTGACTCATTTGTCTGTCTCCTCTGCTTGTGTCTTGACACTTTCAAGAGAGGAGTGTCACCTCTGGTTGCTAGAACAACTACCACAGACTAGATGCTGATCAATAATGTTCATTTCTTACACTCTGACTGCTGGGAAGGCCAAGAGAAAGTGTCAGACATTTGTATCTGATGAGAACCCTGCATCCTTCTCCATAGATGACCATCTTCCTACTCAGGCATGGTGAAGTGCTGGGACTTTTTATATTAATAGTAATCCCTTTCCTGAGAGTTCCACTCTCACAACTTACTCCTGCACCACAAATGCCATCTCACTGAGGAACCTAAGCAAGAGCAAGGCCTAGAACCTGAAGCAGGAGCCTTGTGATGTGTTTTTGAACAGACTGAGCCATATAGTGACATAGGAAAGCCAAGGCCAGTGTGGACTGTATAGAGAAACCCTGTCTCCAGACAGTCCATTAAAGTGATACAGACTGAGACCACAGTATTGATGTATCCAGATAGCCAGGATGCCCAGTACATGTAAGTATATAGACAGGGACAAGGAAGGGAATGCTTTGTAACTTATGTCTTACGCTGGATACATGGATTCATGAGCAACGTGCTTGGTTCCTCTTTGTAAGCATCAGAGGTTTTCCACGCTACGTAGATTTTGATTTCACTTTTTATTCTTTTTTTTAAATGATTTATTCGTTTTACATACCAACTTTTGTTCCTCCCCTCCTTCCAATTCCCCTACCCCACCTCTTCCCATCCCACCCCCTTCCCCCATCTACTCCTCCAAAGGGTATGGCCTTACATGGGAAGTCAACAAAGCCTGGCACGTTAAGATGAAGCAGGACCAGGCCCCTCCCCACTGCATCAATACTGAACAAGGCATCCTACCATAAGGAATGGGCTCCAAAAAGCTAGCTTATGTACCAGGGATAGATACTGGTCCCACTGGCAGGGCCCCTGCAATAGTTTATATTCTTGAGTGCAAATCAGTTCACTGCAGATTTGTTAAATGTGGTAGTGACACCGTGGACTTTCTGAATCAAGGTTGCTGAGCTGCTTTGATAGTTGTCAACAGTGCAGATGCTCAATGGTGCCATGCAGGAGATGCAGAATTCACTTGAAAACCCCAAAGATTAACACTTGTGCATGACCTTACCAACCTTGTCAAGCTTTGGTCCCTGCTGTCTGCCAGTTCACATCTAACCACTCACAGCTTTGAGATCCTTCTGTGTATAGACTGTAGTACCAAGTAAAACAGACTGATGACAGAGCATGGAAACCAAAGAGTGAAAACATATGCCAGTCCCATAAGGCGTAAGAGAGCAAAGCCATTAATGAAATAATGTTAAAATAGACCTTTGGCAAAAGCACCACATCTGACTTGAAGTCATATACTCAGTACCACCAACTCTGTTAAAATAAAGATATTTCAATAGTGAATATCTAGGAGTTATTTCAAGCTGCTTAGTTGTTGGCTCTGTAACGTGTGGGTGTTGTAGGTACAGGAGCATCACTCCTGCCTGTATTCAAGTGTTTTGGATCAGGGTATCCTTACAATAGAAATCTCAAGAGTGCTTGGAATAGCAACACAGACACATCCATTTAACCTGACTGAACTAGTTTTTCACGAAGAAATGCAAGAGAGCCAAAGCCAGCTATAGCATCAAATATTTTATCCTACTTCCTAAACTTTGCATGCACTAGCAAAGCACAGAAACAGTGCCCCATTTCTGACCTGTGTTTGCTAACAGGCGGTAAGATAGTTTCCCACACCTGTACATCTGTACTTCTGTCTGGATTAGGTGTCTTATTTCAACCTGGCCTGGAAGCTATGTCCCTTCAGAATTCCCTTCCTAGATAACCTGTTCTTATTTAAGCCTCTTTTAAATGACCTAACAAGGAATTCTTAAACGTTGAATGTCTATGACCTTTCAAAGCTATATAAATATTTGATAGTAGTTACTCATCAACAAACTATTAAAAAAAACAGTTCTGAAGAATTTAAAAGTATAGTTTTATCAATTTAAAAATACATCTTTCCCAGGCAATGGCACATACCTTTAATCCCAGTACTCTGGGGCAGAGGCAGATGAAGCTGAGTTTGAGGACACCCTGGTCTACAGAGTGAGTTGCAGAATAGACCAGGGCTACACTTAGAAACCTGAGAAATAAGTAAATAAATAAATATGACTAAAATAAAATAAAAACATCTTTTTTCCCTTTTAAAAACATTGTGTGTACAAGTGCATCTGTATAGCTAAAAGGTACTTCAAGTGTGTTTATTCATCTCAAAGTAAGTACTTTATAAATTAAATTATTATTACTGTTGGTAAGACAAAAAGTAGTTATAAAAAAATAAAATTAAAATGTCACTGGCTTATTTATAGTCACTTGCTCCTGTAATGAGGCAATTTTTTGCTGGTAATTGACTTCTTTACATGAGCATGTCACTCACACATAGCTCATGTGACAAACTTTTAATGCTACTTTTCTGTTGTTGTAATATGTGTCGTGCTGTAGTTTGAATTCCTTTAACATTTGTTCCATAACTTTTATTGCAGTGTGAGCCATGATGGAGGTTATTCATGTTATTAGCAGTTAAAAAAGTACTTCAAGGGCTTGAAAACAATGCTAGAATATCCAAGACTCGTTTGAAATTATTTACTTGCTAAATATACTGACCAAAAATTGAGATATTGTTCTAAAGAGGAGGAACTTTAATGCTGTTTTCCTTTATTTATTATTAGCTTAATGGAAAATGGATGGACTATTGAACAGACTATCATGTTAGTAATCTCTTGGAAGATTTCAGCTGGAAATCATGGTTATAAGTCACACAAGAGTTAAAAATGCATAGTGAGTAATCACAATGGAAGCTTCAGTGTGGTTAAACTTTACCAGTTCATCTGGTAATTGATGCCACTTGAAAACCTTCGTGCACATGGCTTCAGTTGTAAAACCACAGGGTTGAAGTTTCCCTGAGTATCTAAAGCAGTCTCTCAAGCTACAATCTGGACTCTTACACACAGTGTATGTGAAGATGTTTTCTTTAGTTGCATTTCACTGCATCCATATGTGAAATCATGTCTGTTGCTTAGACAGTGTCCAAGATGTTATGGTGATTCAAGATTCAGAGTAAATGGGCTCCAAAATTAATTGACTCAATTTATATTTGAATAACAAGATTATATTTTGAGATTCTGTTCATTCTTTATTTAGTTGAGTTCATATCATTTCTTCTAATTATCAACTGTTCTTGAACAGAAAAAAGTACTAGTCAAAGAGTTTTAATGCTTGTTTCAAGAATTGTACTTGTTTACTATATTACTGAAGGTCTGTTTCCCTGATGATGTGTACATGTTATATAATATTTAATTTATTAAGCATTTACTGTAGGATATGAACTGATAATTATTTTTGACAGCTAGATATGAGGATCACAGAGATCATTTCACATATAAGTATAGTATACACAATTCCTTCTATGTCAGCATTAATATAAAATGTTATGATATACTTCATATATGTATGCTGTTATATACTTTAAACATAATTACAATACATAAATATAAATAAATGTATACAACCCTGCAATAAGCTTAATCTATAGAATAAAGTAAACCAGCAGGCTTTAATAATTTCCTCAGGTTCCCACAGAGATAAATGTCAGCCCATAGAATTTAAGTTAATTCTAACAATTTTTGTAATCTATGCACACACTTAACTCTTTTACTGCCAATCAAGTTTATGTTTTAATTACCAATATAATCAGTAGCCAAGCCAAAACCAAGTTAATTCATAATTTAAAATCACATCTTCATGTAACAATGATTGATAAAGCACATGTGGGATTTCTTTCTAATAATATGGGAACAGTCCTGAACGAACAGCAGTGGCCACAAAGGAATGGAAGGTGTTGGTAGCAACAAACACCCCCATGACCTTGTGGATATTTGACTTTCCTAACACCATTTCTGAGACATGCTTTTCCTGGTGTGTTTTTTTATTGTCTTTGTGACAGCCAGTGAGCCGCAGATGTACAGGACTGTTTCTGAATCTTAATTCCATTAGCCTTTAAGTCTGTTGGGTTGCTGTGGGTCGGCAGTATACCTTGCATTCTGGTGTGGAAAGCCTCCAGCTTTCTTCTTTCTGTTTAAGGTTGCTTTTACTCTTTGAGGTCTGTTGCTTCCATAGAAATAGTAGGTTTTTTCTATTCTGTGTGAAGGATCGTGTGGATGTGGATCGCATTTGAGTCTATAGACTGATTTGAATCTGTAGAATGGTTTCTGTAGAGGGAACACTTTCACAGTAGTCTCCAAATTCATGGATAGGGAGGAAATTCCTTTTTGTTTTTCTTGTCAGTTTCTTTAATTGTTGTTTCTTAACTTTCACTTCCATAGTAAAGTTTATTCCTAGATATTTTATATGTAGCTTTTAGCTTTTTTATTTCATTGAATTGCTTATATGTGGAAAGCTACTAATTCTCATATGTAGGCTCTGCATCCTGTTACTCCATTGAACTGTTATTTCGTCATACTGCCTTGTCAAATGGCTTCACTATTAATTGTAAGGGGACTTTCTCAGTTTCTGTGTTTATTTTTAAATATAAATGTAGCCGGCCCTGTATAAGACATCATACAACATCCTTTACTCTCAACCAGTTTGTGTGAGTTTGAAGTGAGTTTGTGTTTGCATGGCTCCAGTGATTGACTTAACTGGGAAGGTATGGGAATGAATAGATGACAGATACACACATGCACAGAAAATCTGAGACCAGGTAGCCAGGGCTCTCTGATGAAGCTACAACATTCTTGACACGCCATGTGTTTCTTATATACAATTGAATAGGGTGGTGGAGGGGGAGGTTATTATAGCAAGCTGAATACACAAACAGGTGTAGTTAATCTCCATAGAAACAGTTTCCGTAGGGGAAACAGGTTTCAGACTAAACCCTTAGTGAGAGAAAGCTGCACTTGATGTGTGCTTCATACACTGTCAACATTCATATTCAGACTCAAGGAATGCTCTCTCAGCCCTTTGAGCCTCACTGGGAAAGGCTTTGCTCCTCCTGTGGGACTGAGGCTTTGGAGTCCTTGACATGGCCATGCCCATATCAAATAATACACATTCTCTGAGAACTTCACTAGCTCCCGAAGTCTTAGGTGGCCTATTGTTGGAAATTGTTTTACTATCCAGCGTGTTTGTATGCATGCATTCATTTTTGTGTTTTCAACATTCTTGGGCCTGTGACTTTATTTATCCTTTTTTCCAGTTCACTGTGCTTTGTGCTATGTCTCCTCTTCATATGCTTTCATTGATGATTATATTTCTTTCACTTGGGATTCAGGACTTCTTATACATCTTCTGGAAGCTTTCTCTAGTAATCACAGATTTTCTCAATGATTGCTGTCTTTGTATGGTAATTTGGCAAGTATTGTTTTCCTTCAAGAATCTGAATATATCACTTCATGCTTTCCTAACCTATAATGCTTCTGTTCAGAAACCACTGTTACTCTGATATAGTGCCTTTAAACATTACTTTAGCCTTTTTCTGTGATTTAAAATTCTTTGTGTTACATAGTTTTGACAGTTGGACTATAATCAGCTGTGGTAATGATTTTTATTCAAGATTCTGTATGCTTCTTCTTCTACCTGAATTTCTGTTTCTTCTAAAATTATGGAAGTTTTTTGCTATTATTCATAGGTTGACAACATTTTTTTTCCTTGACTTTGGGTATTCCAAAATGTAGATTTGTTTTGGTTTTTTTTCCCTAGTGTTCCCAAGGTCTTGAGTGCTTTAATGATTCTTTTGTTGTTGGCCTGAACAGGGCATTTCAAAAGACATGTCTTAAAGTTCATGCTTCCTCCCCTTGATACTGTCAGCTGCTGCCAATCCCATTCTGAACTCTTCATGCCTAAGACTTGCTTACGTATTTTCATTATCTCACTTGAAATGTCTCACTCATATGCCCATATTGTCTCCCTCGTGTCACTCACCTGTTTATTTCAAGTCTCTAGGAGCTCTAATGTGTTTTTCTATTCATTCTTTTCAGTTCTTTTGTCTGTGTGTTTCTTTCTTTGAAATTTGTCGATAGAGTTGGGTTCTTCTAGGGGCAACATATTACCTTTTTGGTGTCTCAAGATTACTGTATTCCTACTTTGGAATTTGCACTTCTAGTTAATTAGACATGACTACTTTGTTTGGTAGTCTCAGTAGGGGTGGGGCCTTAGAGCTTTCCCCCATCCACAGTGGCCTCTCAACCCTTGTCATTACACAAGGCTTGTCTAGGTAACCATAAATGTTTGAGATCTTATGGGTGCAGCTTTCTTTTTCATACATAGAAGACACTGCCTCAGAGCAGGCATCCTTGTGCTCTGGCTCTTGGAATCTTTCCACGTTACTCTTCTGCAATGTTATCTAAGCCTCGGGCATTAGTTTATTATGCAGTGTTGGTTTTTACTCTAGCTGGTCACCAAGTATCCCTTCCACATCTCAAATTCTTAAGCAGCTGGCATGTCAGTTTGGTTGTTGTGTATTCCTTGTTAACATCAGGCAAAACAGCTGTTTCTGCATCACACACAAACAGAGACACTAGCCATTCACCAGGTAAGGAGGTATGAGCAGCAAAAACTGGGGGTCTCAGTATATAGTACTCCTGAAATTGGAATGGGGATGCCTGTTATGTATTGGGTCGGGAGGGTGGAAATCAGCAGAGGCCCTGTTGGTGTGAATTCTGCTTCTGGCAAGGACCTGAGGCATTAGTATCTTCAGCAGTTATGAGGAGCCTGCATCACCTGTTCTCCAACCAGTAAGCAGGGCCTAGATGCTGTACAAGGACATATAACTTAATTATAAATGTAAAGCCAACATGGATTTTGGCAAGACCCAGAAATTATATGTTCTTTACATGACTCTCTAATTCCTTTTCTCTGAAGAGTCCTGCCAGTTCATGGGTACCAATGTTATGGGTTTCACTTTAAGCAACTATTATCAGGGATGGAGCAATGGCTCAGTAGATAATTATTTTCCATACAGCTGTTAAGGGCCTAAGTTTGGATCCCCAAAACCCTTGTGAATCCAGATGTTAGATTGCATCTGTAATCTCAGCTCCCTACAGTGAAATGGGAACAAGAAGCAGGAGAATTTGCAGAAGTTTGTAGGCCAGCCAGCCTGATGTGTGCACAGCTAAACAACAGACCCACCTCAAACAAGGTGGAAGGCAGGGATTGACATCAAAGGCTATGGCACATGTGTACCCATTCTGGCACACACACATACACACATGTACATACCTACTACTAATGCAGCATCACACGTTTCAAGTGCATGGAAGAAAGAAAAAAGGTAATTATCAGCAGAGGTCTGAACTATAAGCCAGTTTCTAGTGTTTATTTTCTTGGGCAAAAGTTCATGCATGGGAATTTAACATCTTTGCTCAAGCCAAGCCACATTTAATTTTTTGAACCTGTTGACTCATAGAGTCAAAGCATCTGCTCTCTTCAGTATATTCTCCCTTAGCATCAGTAAAATTCAGCATTATTAACATGGAAATCAGATAGGAGGAGAGCCTACACAGTAGATTCCTCAGAAGTTCAGAATAACCAGAACATGAGTCAGACAAAGAACATTTGGGGGGGGGTACTCTGCATTGTTTTACTAGGTCACAGGGAAAGCATCCCTTTAATAGGGACCTCTCCACTCTCTTCCTCTTGGAGCAGCCAAAGCCTGTGCCATAGTTTGAGAAATATAAAGTATGTCACTAAACTGATCTTGGCCACTTTTACTCTGGGCTTTGGGCTTTGATTGTTTTGTTGTTGTTTGTTTGTTCTTTTATATATCTCTTGTGTGGCCTGAAAAATAATATGAAATCAGAAAAAGATGTTAATTTTTTTAGTTAAACTACTATACTTTCCCACCACATTCTAATTTTCAAAATGAGGTAACATTTTCCACTCCACAATAAACTAGCCAGTAAATAAAAGTACTGTAGAGAAAATGGAAAATAGTATTTGTAGTAGGAATTCACTCTGCCCATGACCTTGGGCTGTCTGACCTGATAGACGTGGTGCTTCTCATAAGTTGACTTGACCTGTTAAAAGGAAAGGGGGAGGGGCTTGAGCTCTCTTGGTGAAGACAGACTGGTGGTGTGAATCAGTGTGTGATCAGGCCATAGTTTTCCAAGGACCCTAGAATTATATTTTCCATGCCCTGTATTCTTGATTGTATTTTTCCCTCTTTAACATATTAATAAATCTGTGTTACTCCTTAGACAGATGCATGTGTAAGTTTTTAACAAAAACACATTGATATAACACTAATGTGTCCTATACTGTTAATTTTGATTTCACTGTTTCGATGGTGTCTGTTCTTGAAAATCTTTACAGATGGTTCTCAAGCACCAGCTAGACCCCCCAAGCCTCGACCCCGCAGGACTGCACCGGAAATTCATCACAGAAAACCCCTTGGGCCCGAGGCAGCAATGGAAAATGTTGATGCAAAAATTGCAAAACTCATGGGAGAGGGGTACGCCTTTGAAGAGGTGAAAAGAGCCTTAGAAATTGCCCAAAATAACGTGGAAGTGGCCAGGAGCATCCTTCGAGAATTTGCCTTCCCTCCCCCAGTCTCTCCACGTCTAAATCTATAGCAGCCGGAACTGCAACACCAAAGGGTAAAACAGTTGACAGAATATTCCAGGAGTACGGAACAGAAGGACTAAGAGGGAATGCAGGAGCCACAGCATCCTTTTGTGGGACATCTCCAGAAGGGAGGCGGCCTGGAGTCCAGCTTCTGTGGAGAACACAGCTCCCTTAGGATGCCCACACTGCAGCTTCTGTGTTTGTGCTAGCCATACTTTTAAATCAGGGTTGAACTGATAATATAATTTAAAGACGTTTACTCCCCTTGAACTTTGAATCTGTGAAATGCTTTTCCTTGTTTACACGTTGGCAGAATTGAGGTTTGTCTCTGTTTTGGATCCCTGTATGGTGCTCCTGACAGGTCCTTCATGGAGTTGGTCATGTCTGCTGTAACCTTTTTCATGCCCTCCTTTGCTGTCCACAGCGGCAGCAAAATCACTTCTTTGTGTTGCTCTCCATCCAGGCCCCACCTCACATCCCCAGGTCCAGTTCCATTGCTCCCATTTACATGACACGCTAATCTGCAGGTTCTGATTTTCAGTGTCTCAAAGTAAGGCAGAACGAGAAGGAAAAATGTGTGGTCTTGTCTTCACTACTGAGTCTTTGGGAACCATCACTGTTGAGAGGTGGGGGAAAACCTGAATGTATAAAGCATTTATTTGTCAATAAACTGCCTTTTGTAAGGGGTTTTTATATCATATAGAAGAGCTTCCTTTGTTAGTGTAAGTTCTGTGACCTTTACTTTTCTATGCTCTCCCTCTTGTAGCCCCAGGAGTGCCATGATGCTGTCGAAACAGGCTGGCATGAGACAGCACTGTGCTACATTACAATAATGAGATCCCCTGATATTTATGCCTGCATCACTTTCAGGAGAGCTGGAAAGCAAGCGTGGCCATCACCTCAACATACGTTAAGACGCCTTTAGAGAAGGCCGCACACACAACTTTTCCAAGTGGAATAGAGTCCGTTTTCTGTGTCTTGATGTCACACTGGCTCCTCACAGTGTGCACGCCTCCTCCTGAGGCACTGATGACTGTTATGTGCCACTGCTACTGCGGCCATGGTACTTGGAAAAATCTTAGTGCCCTTTCTTCAGTCAAGTCAGGGTACCTATTTACTCTGTGGGTTTTCTCATTGATTATTCTTTCCGTGTTGCCCCATTCAGTCAGATGGAAGACTTAAACGCAATTTTGCTTTTTAACAAAATGAGTGGTTCTTCTGAAACCATGGTATTACTTTTAATCTGAAAATATGTACTGACCATCTGAATGTGCTTTGCACTCTTTGGTTCGTTTGTAAAGCACAAACTATCTCCAACATATACATGTTTTTGATGGTAAATGTCTCTAATCTGATGGATGAAGCACCGGAAATTGACACTGGGGCTTCAGAACTCTAGAAATTTCAGGGGTTTTTGTTTTGTTTCGTTTTTTGTTTTTCATACATAATAATGGGGAGAAGAAAAGAATCAAAACTATCTCCATGGCAAAATGCTTGAACCACATCTAGAGACTTTCTAAAGATGGACTTAGTTGAAGGTTTGCGGAGGTTTGTACCACTCCTTATTCCACACCCAGAAATGTCGCAGATAATGAGCCCTAGGGAGAAGAAAGACCATTGGGTCGATCTGCTGGAGTTGGGGTGTAAACGACTCAGCAACAAAGCCATGTTTGCCCAGGAATGGAATCCAGGACATTCCTTTGTAGTCTGGCTTTCACAGGATGAGACAAGACTTGAGGATCCATAGTCTTTGCCTAATTTAGATTTGTTCAGATGGTCCTATGCTGCTTCTCCCACCAGAGGGATATTTTTTAATTTCCTTAGATGCTGTTCCTTATAAAGAGCTATGAGTACAGTTTTTTTATATATACTTTATACAATTGGCTCTTTGCTGTTTTAGTTTCTGCCCATATCTTTTTTTCTTTTTCTTAACTTGTTTTATAGGTTCAGACATCATATTTCTTGGCAACAGTGTGCACAGCCTAAGACTCAAAGTTGCCTGTTTGCTGTCCTAACGTTGTTAGAACATCCTTGATAGATTAGGGGGCAATGTAAGACAAGCACCTAGGACCCATAGCATATTCTTGTCCACTTCTTAGGTCATACTTAAGACTTTCAGAAAGAATTTAAAAGCTAAAGATTTCATGACACCCTTTATTTGGACCTGAGGTTAAGAAAGAAAATAAATAAGTTTCTGAATTGTACCAAGGTCTTCCCCTATGGCAATGGCCAGTCTTGTCATTAAATTGAATCCAATGAGTCATACGTTAAGACAATGAAGACAGATAACATGAACACTCACAGGATTTGTTTGAAGACATAATTCAAATTAATTTTCATAATGAAACAGACTATTAGTTAATATTTGAAATAATCCAAACTTTGTTCCCTCTGACCCAGAAAGTTAGATCTTCCTCCCAGTGCTCAAGAATGGATAATAAAATTACCTTAGGTCAGTATTTAGTATGACCTATACACTCAAAACAAATTATGGCCAATTTTAGCCCCTACCTACCTGCAAATTTTTCTGGGTGTTAAGGACATGGCATCCATCTCCAGTGATATTCCAGTAATTGTGTTTCCCCCCTTTGGGAGATTATTTTGTTGTTGTTTTCTCTCTCTCTCTGTCTCTCTCTCTCTCTTCCTATCTATCTCTATCTCTGATATATCACAGCCAAATTTTCTAGAACCAAATCCAATCATTTTAATGTTTAACTTGAGCTTGCTTCCACAATTATAGTTGTTAGCCCTTCCTACTTTCCCCTAACCTTCAGTGCAATAGAGCCCTATTACAGCCTCCAAAGGTCTGTTTTCTAACTTAGCATTTCTCACACCAAGGATACATGCAAAGCTTTCTTCATAATGTGAACTCCTTAATTGTTCAGTTCCAGAAGCATTTCCTGTATTTTGAACGTGACTTTGCCTCTCGGATTTTCAACTTGAAGCTTTAGTTTGCACTGAATTATCTCACCTGGTTTTAAAATGTTTCAAATGGACTGATTTGGAAGTAAAATGTGGTATATTTTAAATATTAATGCAGGTACTGCCTGTAAGCCTGGAATGTTAGCATTTTGAGGAAGAGGTTCTGGAAAAAGACAGCAATAGAAAGAAAGGTTTTCTTCCCAACTCCCATTTTTATTGTTTTGAAATGCATTTTTGTAAACGTGTTTAATGTGGCAAAATAGTTATGTGTTCAATTAATTTATATTTTATTCATTCTTTTGTTTTTTCAATTCTGAATATGTAACCTCAAGTACTTTATCTGTTCTTTTAAGGTATTTTATAAAAATGAATGTTGACAAATGGAGTTTGTATGTTATTATTCCAATAAGCACAAATATTTCCTTGAGACGATGTCTTTGATGTCATTTTTCTAAAGGATATGAAAATGACATTACAGAACTAGTTGGATATTGTGAACAAACATATCCATCCTAGGAAATGACTTAGTCACCAAGTGCCAAACTCACGTGACTTAATGACAGTCTAACTTGAGTCATGCCAGAGACATGAAAGTCAGAACTGAAGTTTACAAGTAATGAGCCCGTTTATCAGTGAAAGGCTACAATGGGGAGGATAACACTAGACAATGAGTGGGCAGTTGCTGATTAATACTAGCATCTCTGCTTTCAAATCTTTATATTTGTGGTCACTGACTAGCACATACCATGGAGAAAACAGAGACTAAAAGTGGAAAGAGTACCCATTGAAACAGGAGATATTTGAGGAGTACTTGATGTGGAGATGCAGGTGCTAACAATTCACCAGTGACAGCTGCCATGTTGAGGTTCCCTATATAGCAAAATGTCATAAAATTAATTGGGACATGCAAAATCCTACACACCATAATACTCATATTCCCTGAATTTACCCACAGTGAGATGAGATACACATCAGTAATTCCATATAATAAACACTGTATGTTATCACATAATAACTCTACTGTACAACCGCTTAGACCTTCTTTGGGTGACTCTTCCATGCCTGTGTGCCTCTGTTCTCGCCTGAGATGGTCGATCTGTTTCTGCTTAGCATGCAGTGGCCGACATATGCCCATGCCTGTGCTTGCCAAGCCTTCCTAATGTTTGCCTTTCCATTTTAGAGCTCAGCTAATCCTTCCAGGCACAACTGAAGTGACACCTTGGTGTGCCATTGTTTATGTGTCATACAATGCCAACACTATGGTCACTGTGGGGTTTTGTAATTCGTATATATACAAAGAAGCACATCTCCTTCATAGCAAATAGAAAATTCAACTTGGTGAAGCATTTCTAGTGAGTGGACAAGAGCCCTGAATTGTAGATGTAGCCATTGTCTTCTTCACTCGTGGACTACGTCATGAACAAAGCTACTCATTAACATGATTGCACACACTGTCTTAATTTGTTTTCATTAAATGAAGAACAAAACCATTTAGTGGCTATTTTAAAAAAAAAAATCGCCAAAACACTAAGAGATTTAAAACATTATGACCTCTTGGGATTCCTTCTGTGTTTGGTCAGCGTAAACCAAAAGGAGAGGGGAGCCAGTAGTAAATCTTCACAAGTATTACCACCAATGAAGGGCGAGTCTTCATCATATTCCCATGGAGCCCACAGATCCTTGTCAATGCATTGAGATTTGAACCATCTTGAAAATACCCCAGCAAGGCCCCCTTCCAGGCTCACTCACCCAAGGGGCTTTAGAATGTGTGCCAATGAACAAGACTCACCGGAATCAAGCTAGTGGCTATGTAATACATTAGACAATAGGCCAGTGAGCAGTTTCCTAGCAAACATGCATGTGAGCTTAGGGGCCAGACTTGAAGACTGCATCAAAAACTTTAAAAATCAAGGACACACTATGGTAGCACATTGAAGAGGGTCCCTGCAGATGTCATATAGGGAACTGGATCAAATTAAGAGACAAGAATATAATGCCAGGCAGTTCACTGTTAGCATATTTTAAACACAGTACAGTTGGCGGAAAGGTTTCCAGACAACAATCAGTGCATTTCCAGGTGCCTAATAAAACTTAAAAGTGTGACTACATAGAAACTCTTTGTAAAAGTGTTTGTGACCATAAGGGTGAGTCCTATAGATAAAAGGCCTAGAATTTAGTGTGGTCTCTGACCAATAGCATAGAGGTTAGCAGGACATAAAGTGTATGTGACATCTCCCCTAAGGATGGGTACGGGTCTAGGGAAGGAAGAGTCTGGGATAATTATTCTGGGGAATTAGGATAAGACCTGTCCCTTCAGAGAGCAAAAAGGTAACCATGTCATTAACAAGCTCCACCCTCGGTTGAAGAGACGCCCCTGCCCCTGTATGAGTAACACTCCTGCTTCTCCTTGTGCTTCCCTATGAGTACAAGGACCTCTGTGCCCCCACCAGCACAGATGAAGGAGAGGGGATAGTCTTTCTTTTGTGAAAGAACAAGTAGAAGCATAAGAGTGATGGGGGGGTGAAAGAAAGGGGTAGATCTCTGCCCTATTATTATGTTCTGAGGGGAATAGTGGCCAAAACTGGGGGAAAGTAGGCAGGCTAGATTGAATTAGAATACAGATGGCTAAATAAGGAACAGCACAGTCAAAAGCAGTGACTAGAGAACAAACACCACCATGTTGGTACTCTATCAAGTCCAAAGTGTTCAGTAAATAATGAGCATTTTCTTTCACCCGTGCATAACCCGTTTCTTATAAGATTTAACCCAAAGGGGACTTCACAAAAAGAAGCTGTGATCTAGACTAGGCTATTTGATTTCCCTGGAAATACTTTTTTCTGACAAGTTCAGTTGTCTTCAGCCTTTGTGAGCAAATCCTGGTTGATCCCTACCAGTCCCTTGAGGAGACCCTTTCTTGTCAGCCAGCAGGCAAGGTCCACCTCATCTCATTTCTCCCTTTACTTCAGTGATTTCTTCTCCCTGAGTGAACTCTCCCTGCTTTGGTGGTTAGCTTATTTATGAAATAAGTATAGGGAACATGGAATGAAACAGCCGGTAGCAACTTCCCTAGAACGTCAGTGACCAGCCTGCAATTAATCTCAAATGGAACCCATTTCCCTAGAGAACCATTCCAATGTAAGATGCAAGGTATGTTTAAAGAAAATTAAGCCTAACCACATGTGCCTAGGCCCAAGGCTATTCAGGCATGAATCAATACTAGTAGTACCAATGCATTTATTTGTATAAATGTTTAATTGGGCGTAATGTGAAATGTCTGCTTATCTGGAATTTCCCACAAAACGGAGAAAAAGTGGCCGATGGCAAGATTCCTGTATCTCTACTGGGTGTTTTAATCTGCACTGACACAAACATTTATATAGCAGTTGGGGCTTGGGAAAATTTATATTTTGTTTTCAAAATTCTTAAAGCTGTGACTCAGACATAGTAATAAGTCATTCCTTCTCTTTGCACATAGAGAAAATAGGTGAACCAGAGAAAATCATTCTCATTCCATGAGATGCTAAGAAGATCATTATCATCTACTATTAAGTTAATCCCACGCATTAAACATGAAAGTGAAACCCAAAGAAATGAGGTAAGTTCTAAGCATTCCCTTCATAAGCAAGAAAGGATATTGTAAAGGAATGGCCTCTGAGTGACCTTCACCTATATCTGCAGATACGACTGCAGAAGATATATATGTATGTATGTATGTATATGTGTGTGTGTGTGCGTGTGTGTGTGCGTGTGTGTGTGTGTGTGTGTGTGTGTGTGTGTGTGTGTATATATATATATATATATATATATATATATATATATATATATCAGTGTTTCTCTTCAAGAGTATTTTGCTAATTGATCAGCAGATGGTAAAACAGACTCGTGCAGGTGAAGAACGGCAGATAGCAACTGAGGCAAAGAGCTCAGGTGTTAGAGAGTAGGTGATTCATGCAACCTGCTTACCAGCCTGGCTTGGAACCATGGGTCGTAAACCCAGCCGTTTTGAGTGCGTAGAAGCACCTACTTTAACATTTTTATTTATTGTGCTCATTAAAAAGTAGAAAAGGAAAAACTTATGCTTCAGCCTATAATTTCTCAGCAAGAGAAAAGCCGCCTTAATTGCCTCATTCAGTGGAAAGCTAATACATAAAGGAGAACAAATATGTATTCTCGCAGGTTAAATCAGAAAACATCTGTTTCGTTTGTGAAGCTTCAGTGTGTAGGCACAGAAGCACTTTTGGCAGCTGTGCTATCAATTGATAAGAGGCTATAAAGTTGTCACAATAAGGATACTGCAAATTCAACTTGAATAGTTTGCTTTTCACATTAATGACACATTAGGACACTTGTGCCTCTCATCATCACTTCAGAGCTTTGAAAAGACCAATGTTCTTGTTCCTATCTCAAAGGGCCACTACCACTCAGCTCCTGATTCATCAATCCTTTGTGGTATTAACCCTTAGATTAAATTCAATCAAAGTTGAAGATAGCACCAAGAGCACTTATGTCCCTTTTAAAAGATCACACACATTCTTTCCACCTGGAAAAAAATCAAAAGAAACCAGACCCGCCACTGTTCATTAAAATTGACCCAGATGTCAATAAGAAAATTCAAGCTTCATTTGCTTAGAATTGCCCAGGTGTTTGCCAAAATATACCACAGAAAATATACTAAATTTCACAATAGATCCAGCAGCATTGAGTGTTCTTGTTAATTTTGTATTCATCAGTTAAGTTACAGTCTAACATTCTCAGGTCTAACATCATGCTGAATTATAAAAACTGCTTCACTTGGAAAAAAAAAAAAAAACGTGTCACAAGCTTGTGAAGATGCACAGGTAAATTCAAATGACTATGTGGCTCCACCCACAACTCTTTACATTTTTAAAAGAATGATATTCTTAAGATGAGGAGACAAGAAGACTAATAGAGACACCTGGCCATTGGCCATAATTCTAAGAGTATAGTACCATCCCACCTGCAGCCATAATGCTGACGAGATTTCCCACCCATTTGGGAAGCTGACTAAGAAATAACTTCCAGAGAACTCAAATATGTTATAAGAGTCATTGCCAGAAGTCATTTTAGCATAGGGACTGTCAATAGATCACATGATCCTATTAGAAGCCTTGGGCTTGTAAGGATCTCATTGGGTAGATGACAGTACCCTCAGCATCCTGCTGCATGTGGACAGGGAACACAGTGGCCATGAGCTATGACTTACTAATCTGCCTAGCAAGAGTTACATAAAGTCTCCTCCCCACAATATAGTTGAACTGCTACTGAAATATCTCAGTTACTCATCAGCCTTGTGAGGTTAATAAACAAAGTAGATCCACCTTCAAGTAGATGAGAGACTGTGAAGTCGACACTGTCTTCAAAATCCACATGATAATTATATATAACAAAATTCCAGAGTCATGAAAA